GCTCCTTTTTTACCCCCAACACTGTCAATACAATAACAACCTCTTATTTCATGCCCTTTGTTTCACAAAGAACAAATATTAAAGGAAAATCTACCAGTTAATTCATCTTACCCTTCACAAGTTGGACATATTACATTTTTGCTTAGTTGAAGTTTTGTTGATTTTCCATTATATAGATCTTCCAGTGTCACCCTAAAGAGTATTAAAATATCATAAGTTGATATACAGGTTAACTCATAACTTTGAGAATGATATGCATGTTATACATTACAATAATGATTATTTATATGGAAGGGGAATCAATTTTCATCCAAAAAGATCTATATTTACATGATGATTTATCTGCTTACTGATTATGACAGATAAATATCTTCTGCTCAAACTCTACTAGTTTTACTATTAATCATAATACATTGTACAACTCATAAATAATGTATAAGTTACAGATAATAGTTCAGCCACAAGGAATAGCAAAGGGAAATAGGAAAATAATGACACAACAAAGAAATGCAATCACAAATAAAAGTTTCATTATCTAACTTTCAAAGAAAATTTCAAATTACACCTATCAAGTTTATTACTTTAATTACAAATGACAAAAACAATCACAATTTCTTACTTTAATGGGTGAAACATGTCTTCTCCTCTTCGTCGTCTGYTTCTCATCCCACTGAACCCCCCAAAACCTACAGAAGTAACATCAAAGATATTTTAAATAACTTACAAATGAACTTCTGCTATGTTGGACTACAAAAACATATCAGTTTGCAGAGTATTTAAGTGAAGTGTTAAAAGGACATTACTAGTAACTTACCACTTCCAAACAAACCACCACCAAATCCACCACCTCCAAAGATATGTGATATGATGTCATCAAAACCTCCTACAAGTAACATATATTTACTGGTCATATTACTAATCTAATAATACCTATAGTATGAGAAATGATAGAAGGGAGATTTTCCAAGTATCACCCAGAGAAGTGCTAAAAACACAGCTTTCAAATTAAATCATTTCTTTCAAACACTTTGATTGACAACAAGATATCAAATACACTTAATGCTCAATATAGACCCTGCACATGATGCCAAAGCAACTTCATCTTGAGAAGACAAGATTTTTGCTCTATTTGGAAGCATTATGCTAGTTAAAAAAAAAACAACAATTGATTCTATTTTCACAAATCATCAAACAAATTCTTATTCCAGCTTTATTGATTCAATCAGAAAATAAGAGCTGTAAGTGCGATTTATAAATGATATCCATCCAGCTTTTGGGACAGTAGTGTTACATAATGTAATCAATGTATACAAGTCGTTTATGAGTCGCATTAACTATTCTTTTATACTTTTCAAGCAAGCTTCGACTAGGCACAATATTCACTGATGTATATTACATAATTTGCAGAATATGAATAAGAAGCAATATATAAGAGTTATTTATTATAGTACGTGCGAGTTATTACCATGAATAACTTACCTGCACTTCCGACCCCCTCACGCAAGCCCTTCTCGCCAAATCTGTCGTATAAATCTCGTTTTTCGGGATTTGAAAGGACATCGTATGCGAAGCTGATTTCTTTAAACTAAAATGAACATATCGCTTATTAAAACAAATCGACCGAACAATACTTTAAACGAGTTTTACCTTTTCTCCAGTTTCTGGATTTTTATCGGGATGAAGTTCTTTGGCCAGCTTCCTGTAGGCCTTGATGAAATAGAGCGTTTAGTTTAGTATTTCGWCCGTTTTTTCGACAAACATTTACAGYATAGATAGCCGAATGATCCTTTGACTGAAAACTTGTACAACATTAGTAATATATACCTTTTTTAGTTCAGCATCACTAGCATTTCGAGAGACTCCAAGTAGATCATACAACCTCGTGTCGGCCATATTGAGCAATGACGATTAATGCCGGGTAGTGACGTCAAAACCATGATGCCAGGCCTTGCATTTGTCAGTGAGAAGCTTGAACGTGAAGCCTCTTCTTTACGGTCACCCTTACATTACGGACACTTTCATCTCGATATTACGGACAGTTTTATATTACATAAAAACCTCTTTGCGCACGCCTCTAAAAACTTTGCCACATGACACGGAATCCTAAGCATTCCTGGATTCCGGATTCGAAGCTCCTGGATTCCGGATTCTCTCAAATATACCTACCTTTTGCTATAGCTACAAGTAGAGTGTTGATAAATTTGATATTTTTCTGATTTGAATTCAGAGGATACTCCTCTGTTTAGGAGCGCAGTGGCATCCATTGGTGCGGCTTCGGACTCGACGTTGCAAATATTGCGTCATTTTGAGTAATAAGGGACTATTTAGTATCTTATCATCTGGGAATCAGGGAGTTGCCGAAATTCTTGGAATTCCAGGAAGAGTGACAAACACCCATAACGGCATCCTCGGGAACCCAGACGTCGTATTCACCAGTCGATCCCGAGCAGTTCGTAGAAGATAACGCCCTGGGTTCCGAGGATACCATAATGGCCGTTGTCCAACAACACAGTGACATATACGTGGTAAGAAGCCAACTGACTTTGAACGCGATGCAACATGTAAGCAGCGTGCGGCCAAGAAACAWGGTAAGGCTGCATTAAAAATTGTACCAGAGTAGAGCGCTAATATGTCCTATATGACGCAGAAAGTAGAATATAAACATCTCTGATGGCTATCTGTCAAGTGTGGTACATTCCAGTGTAAGTGATCTTTTAGATAGACACCTGATGTTTGCTGATAAAGCTATGACATCACTTCCGCTCAACTATTTTTAACCCAAACAAATTTCCCCACTTCGATAACAAAACACGAGTGAAGACTTTCGCTTATATTTCAGCGAAAAATCTATTTTTACGCACATGAMAAATTTTGTTTATAAGCATGATCAAAGGACTAGAATGACTGTTTTAGAGAAAAAGGAATGCAGGCATTTAAAAGTGTTTAAATACTCTGGGTGTCAGGTAACAAATCTCTTTGGTAATGAGTAACTGACGTAACTGAWGTGTTACACGGCTGAACCTGACCCGAGCTGACCCTTCTCTCGTTTTTTCGTCGTTTATCTTCGCTAATGAGCTGAAAGAAAATAGGCCTCTTCAAACGGTCGACACGACGAAAATCAGTTTTATTGTGAACACTGGTCTGTGTGTATTACTAAWAGAATTACTGATGGAAAGAGAAGARCATTCAACGACCACATGCAGCTATCATAAAGACATGCTTTACTATCGGTTTCGACTTCGAGTATTTATATGCTCGTTTCTGGCAATGATCGCTGTTTTGTTCGTTGTGGGCTGTTTGATTATTCAAGTCTTCAACTCGTCAACTATCTTTCCTAAAAGTTACGATCTTGGTGAGGGAGATATGAGGCTTATAACTGTATCAACTACATTCTGTGAAGGAATCTCACTGCACGCGTCSAAGTTACCACAAACGTTAACTGTTGTGGATGAAGTWAGAGCCGTCAAAAAGGCACGCGTATCAAATGTGACCCTGGATATCTTCATCCCACCACATAAATATTGGTACAAGGCTTTCTACCTCTTGAAAGGATCAAAGATTCWGGTTGAAGCAAACTCTGAAAGTTTCTTTCAACTTTTGATTTTCAAGGGGAAATCAAACTTTGATGGATGGATTGGAAAACAAAAGCTTGAGCATGAATCCAAGACAAATAAAAGAGGAAAAGACAAAAGAACACGAATTTCTTATGTTTACAATGTCAGCCAGGATGAGAATTACTACATTTTGTTTAAACGCATATCAGTTTTACCACGTGTGATCGATTTGTTGGTAAATCTATCTGTTTCGCGGCGTATTTTCGATKTATCCAATCCTATTCTGCGTTGTGACGCTGCCGCGGGAAAACCGTGCGAAGCGAGGCTTCTTTTCAATTCAAAAGAGAAGACAATAGTAGAAGTGTCCGGGAGGTCAAATGAGTATCTTTATATAAACAATTTTCCATCAACCTGGAACTGTCAGCCTCGGATATGGTTCTTTATAGTAGTATTTGGTGGTGGATATATTGCTTGTATCACATGTACACTGGTTATATACATCTTATTAATGAATACATACACTGACCATCTCAAATCCAAAGCGCGCAARCATAGTATTAAATCACAGAGCAGTTTTAATGAATCTTATCGAGAACATGGTGGATCAACAAGAAAGCAGCGTGYTAGTCTTAAAATGTCATCAYATACACTCCCTTCRCGTAGTTCGTCTCGCGCTGGTGGTCAATCAAAACGGTCCMGCGCTAATGGATCGTTGAAACATAAACACGGCGAGACAACGTTACCATCTGTTATACCACACATCTACAATGGCGATTCATCTGACAGTGAACACGAAGGAATTGAAAATGACTTTCACCAGCTTCGTCGAGTTCCGTCTATGGAGAACATATCGCTTGCTTCATTTGATACAACTGTTTCTCTACCAGTAACCTTCAATAGCTTCAACCGACGTACTGCCGATGCTGATACAGTAAGCTGTCACTCATTTCGACATGACGTCAATCATCATAGATTTCGTCATCGTGATCGTCACCATCCTCGACTCCACCAGGAATTGAAGCTTGAGCGCGAGGGTTTGCGCGATAAAGCGCATTGTGCGGGACTCATCTCGCACCAAAGTGATTCTCAACTTTCTCGTGCGCGGAATATGACACTTCCATCGCGATTCCCTCGCGAGAATAACGCACGTCGCGATTTTTATCGCGATTTGGAGCAAGCTGCACGTACGGAAAGTGAGCGAGTATTAGTTCATTCTGCTAACAGTACTCCTCTTTTTGACCGTAAGGATTTACCAGGAAACACAGGCCGACGTGATTATCCGCTTGACTTTGAATTTGCGCGCAAAGCTAATTGTCCTGCGCGGCATTCTAGCGACTCGCAACTTGATCGACGTGTACAAACGCTGCCAGCTCGAGGCAGAAGAGACTTTTATCGCGACCTGGAGCTGGCGCGAAGACGTGACGCTAATCAYAACTACAAACGTCTCASATCTGATGAAGAAAGCTGCCATGGAATAGATAGTGATTACGAAATGGAATTCGAACGAGCAATCGAGCGTCATGACAACAAGAGATTGATTTCATATCATCGTGTTCAACCTTTAGAAGACACGGATGACTCCGATCAAGTCTCAGTTGGAGATCAGTTGGATCGAATTGCGGACGCGGAAGATAACAAAAAACGTCCAGCAAATAAAACCCATTTATACGTAAACGGTTTCCCTCCTCAAATGGAACCATTATTGAAAGCAACACCAGTCCGTGAACATCAAAATCATTTGGTTGTCATCGAGGCTGAAGAGATGCCTGATGGAAAAAAAATCAACAAAAAGAAAYCAAAAAAAGATTTGAACAAAAAAGATGTAAAATTACGAAATCATTCAAGTAGGCACAAGGAACGTTTTTGGAAACCACGGCTTTCGATAGTATCAGAAGTTTAACCTTTGTAGCTCGGTGCTGTTCTCAATTGTTGTTTTATATTACTTTTAGTGATCATCGCAGCGCTACTTGGACAAGCGTGACAAATATTGTGATATGTTCATCGCAGCGCTACTTGGACAAGCGTGACAAATATTGTGATATGTTCATCGCAGCGCTACTTGGACAAGCGTGACAAATATTGTGATCTCAGGATTAGGAAGGAAGGTGAAATATTTGAGTTTCTGTTGATCCAGACACTAAGTGTGAACAACGCCCTCGATTAGAGATAAAAGGTCAGCCAAGGATCGTTTATACAGACAGCCTTCAACTGTCTACACCTCTGTTAGACGTGAACCGACCTGTGTAAATCTCCCAAATTGTCTCAAAAATGACAAGCACTATTATCACTGGAAAAATCTAGAAAAACCAGTATCTGCTGTTGTGTATACCCAAAGAATGTCAAGACTCTATTGTTTGGAGTCAATGACACTAAAGAGTGCTTAGAAAATATTTCTTTTTAGTTAAAGGAATATCAAAACCCTTGAGCGACACTCCATATGATTGATGTTGCGTCGAGTAACTCTTAATGGACCTCCTCTTTGACTYGGGTTTTTATGTCATATGCCCGCACTTCAAAGCTCAAAAGCACGTGAAAAATGAATCTATTGACCTTGCGGATTAGTCATAACGAATGACTTCAAGAAACGATGAGAAAAACTAATCTCTTGTCATAAAAGGGTGGAAAAAATGATYASAAAAATAGTAGTCTTGACTGACGTAAACAGGTTATCAAATCAATGAAAAGAATATATTTTGTTATATTGTTCATGTTTCGCTGAGTGCCACTCCTTAAGCAAAGACAAGAGTCTTACTTTTTCCACAGAGCTTTAGTTTTATATTCAGTTTATTTATAGTTAATATTAACTATGGTTTATTCAAAAAGTTATTCAACAAAATATAAAGACAATGTATGAGGTTGCCTGAGTAATATTCTTATGCCTAATTACAATGCAATACATGAATATATTTTTTTAGTTTCCACTATGGGATCTTCCAACTAATTTACACTGAATGTCAAAAAGGAATATGTATATAATATATAGAACGCATAGGTCGAAAGATACTTGTATATTTTTCTCCTATCATATTTTTTCCACTGTTCAAAACCCTAAAATGAATATTCCATAGACGACGATCTCGCCTACCGATAAAAGCCCGCGTACATTTCGGTCTGCGGAAGCTCATTGTTGCACCGTCTTTYCAGATATAAATCCAGCGCTTCCCAAAATCTAGGCATAGTTACTAATTATGATCTAGGAATATAAATCGTGCATGCTTTATTAAGCTTTACCGAGCACCTATATTAGAGTTAACTGTTGATATTACTACTTATAATAATACTAGTAAGCGAGAACTGCAAGAGCCGGCTCACGAACAAGACATATTCTTTAAATATTTGACTTTTAGCGAGTTTTTAAACTTTTAAACATCTTTCTAACTTTAGTTTTTTTAAACTTTTTTTACTTAAAAATACGTACAATACCTACGATGAAATGAAACACATTTAGGTCAAAACGGCAAACATATTGTCCAGCAGTTTCTTCAAGCTTCAATCTTTGCCTCCCTTTTGTTGCCTCTTTCAATGAAAATGACAAATTGAGCGTCAACGTGTTTATGTTACTGCAGTCGTTACTCCCATGGGAAGGCATTCCTCTTTATGATAGGTTGRTTAATATGAATAATATTATACCTTGAATGATGAACAGTGTTATCCGAGGTCCAAGACACACTAAAATCTGATTGGTCGTMGAGATCCCTGGGGTATTGACGTCACTATTACCATAACATTAGAACTTCACCGAATAGACTACCCCCATTTGATATTAGATATTTAACAGTGACTTCATAGTACGATGGTCTAAGAGGGTAGCTAAAGGTATGCTCTAGTGGGCGGCTACCCCCTCACTCCCTGGCCTTTTGGTTAAGACTAAGTTTTATGTGCACTCGGGATAGCGTGGAAGAGCCGAAATCTCTAAMCGTAWCGTAARCCGATTCGACGCCTCAGCTTCATAGAATGTCTCGGGGGAATCGTCCCTCCTTTTTCGTTTTTCATTTCTTTTTATTTTGTTTCCGGGGGGTGCCTCACAATGGATCATCCAGAATGCAGGGTTCGAGTCTCATGTCCTATACTTTCTTAGTAAAGTTTAATACATTTCCATCTTTTTTCTTCTTCTTTTTGCCTTCAATTTTCCTATTTGTGTCAATTTCGACGAAAAAAAATAAATAAAATTATAATAATATATAATTAATATGAAAAAAGTTAATTCTTTTATCTTATAAATCCCGTGAATCATTGCAGCATCCATAGATGAAGACTCGTTCCCAGCTTCTTTCCGTGTAAATTTCAAAATGGCGGCTCGAGTGCTGGTTTTCGGAAACAAAATAAAACATAGCAAAATTCTTCAAAGATTTGTTACCTACGCAGCTGTAAATTCAAGGAGTGCATCGATAACAAATCCATGTGCATACAGGTGGATTTCAAGAGTAAACGAAAATGTTTTGGGTCACAAAATTTGTATAAGTTCTGCAGTGAGCAAAAATTTCGCGAGATGCATGTCAAATGCGAGTTCAGAGAAGAAAAAAGAGASTAGCGACRGTAGCGTATTTAGTGACTTGATGGAAGCAAAGGAACAACCACAGACGCAACTAACAGTTGGTGCAAAAGGTATACAATAATAGTATCCCGATGTGACATGCATTGGTGGTAAAGTATTCTTATAGTATTCCTCTTTCTGCCAACAGTTGTCCAGGCAGGGAAAGACGTCACGTATTTTGGTATCATTCTTGTTGGCTTTGCTGTCACTGGTAATGAAATCAACCATATTGATAAAGTTGTGGTGAATGTTCCTGAGATCATAGATTAATGATGATGATTACAGTTGATGCTGATGGTATTGTGACAGTTATCAGTTATTATGATGAATGAGTGATTAGTGACAATGACTTTGTCATTCCTCAGGTGCCCTAATCTGGTATGTATTCAGTGAACTATTCCTTGGTTTCAGTCCAAATACTGTGTATTCATAYGCCTTAAAACAAGTACTTGCAAACAGTGAGGTAAGAAAATCAGCTTAGTAGTGTTCATCATTATCATATGTATGCCCCGAGACCTCTGCTATTATGTCCTAATCTCAATGACTATTATTCTTAGGTTGTTGAAGAGCTGGGTGAACCTATAATGGGACATGGTGAGACCACTCGTCGAGGAAGAAGACGTCATGTTAGGTATAGCACTGTYTTGGTGAAACGTTYCAATAAGCTGTTGAATCTTATCTTGTACATAAATATACTGTTTGTAGTTACCAGGAGTACATTGTTGATGGAGAAAACTACATGCGAGTTAAGTTTTATGTAAAAGGACAAAGACAAACAGGAACAGTACATGTTGATGTTAAACAGGTAATATGGAAGGGATGAGTGGATTTACAGACTTTATAAAACAATGAAATGATGAATGTTTAGATTTTTGAATGAATGGATTGATGATAAGTGGATCTATTTGATAAAGTGCACAGGTTTACAGTATTAATCTCTTCTTTTCAGGGTGCAAGAGGTTCAATAATATATCGTTTTATACTGGTTCAATTAGATGACTATCCACAAAGATCAATTATTGTACTAGATAATCGTTAGTATAAACTATAATATCAATTACTGACACTAATGTATTATTTTACCACTAAATGAAAACTGTAAATTGCACGAACATTTTTACACAAGACAAAACATTCTTGTTACTCTACATTGTTCAGATTTATTAGTCCAGTTTTGTGCTCCTGAATGAGAAGTGAATTAATAGATAACGCAATAAAATAATAAAAAATTGAAAAAGAAAAAAAAGGCTAAAAGTTATCTACTTCCTTAAACCCATCCAGCAGCGACGAAAGACGTTTGGATGTGTGGTTTCTTTGTGCCGTTGGTTCTAATAAGGAGAAATACATTTCATTGAACAAGTGCAAACAGCCATACATAAAACATAGCAAACCATGAACTTTGAAAGACATGGCTGTCAGATTCTCACCTTCTGAAGATGAAAGTTTTCCAACTCGCTTTCCATCTCATTGATTAACCTAGGAAACCATGGAACGTGTTCAGTTAAGTTATACGTGGGTTAAAACAAAGTATTTTGGCATATTTTTTTGATCTTTTAAGCCTTAAAAATTGTCGTTAAATCTCAAGTAACTATTACACGTCATCCTCGTCCATGATAAAAGTCAGGAAGATCCTAAGTCAGCCAGTATTTTTTTACGCGTCAAATACTTACCTCTTTCTCTCGGTGCCAATCTTAAGCAATTCATTTTTGAATCTCTATAACACAAGAATATTAAAGCACATAACTTGGTAAGTTTTAGTAATGTAAATACGAAACAAAAACGTTATTACCTCTTCCTCCTGAAGCTTTGACTTCGCAAGCCTTAGTTTCCTTTTTGTCCTAACAATAAATGTGTGCTGTTTTTATGTTAAGACACTAAATTACTACAGCAATGCACAGGGTCGGATCCAGGATTTTCCTCAGGGAGGGGTGCAGGGATCTCAGGAGGGGGTTATCATTACAATAAAGATACAAAATAAGGAAAGTATTGAAGGATACAATCTCAGGGGGGTGCGCACCCACCAGCTGGATCCGCCTCTGATGCATATTCTTAGTATCTAACCTTTTGATTTTTCTCTTAAAGTGCTCATTTTCTTGAATAAGTTTCTGATGGAAAATAAAAACAAATTGGAAACCCACGAAGAAAGAACTAGACGTAAAATTAAAATCTAACTGGTAATGCAAACGCAAACACAAGAAAATGCATTCGATTGTTATGCCGTTTCGGCCTCTCGTGTTGATCTGTGTCAGTTCATCTTTATTGCTATTTCGTCTTTTTGTGCAGAACCAGTTTTTAGTTACCTTTGTTTCGCAGCGCAATTTTTCAATCTTCTGCGTCATTTTTCTTCGTTCTCTGCATTTATAAACAATAGGAGGGAAATGAAAATATATTCACGCCATGACTACAGTTATATAACATTTAGCTTACTTCTGTTGCTTTCGCTTTTCAATTTTTCCTTTTTCTTTCTCTGCTTGAATCTGCTAAAACCAAAAGAACGCAGTGACTCAACCATATACCTGGCAGGAAAATTGWCATCTGCAAGTACATCCGTTTAATACATTCAGTTTCTGTTGTTCTTCCAAAGAGATGACTTACTTGCTCTATATCTTCACTCTTCTCGTCTTTGCTTGGACTACTCTCTTCATTCTTTACTTCGACACTGAATTGGTAAAAGAAAAGATCAGCGTCTTCCTCTTGGTCCTTTTCATGCCCTTTTCATTTGATGCACTGAGGAGTTTACCTTTTTTCATCACCAATCTTCACGGTCCCAGTTTTCTTTCCTTGTGCCTGGTTATTGAATTGTTAAAAAAACGATTGTCAATATTGTATTTGTAAGCCCATAGAGGAGTTCTTTGGCAAGTAAACATGTATGGGAAAATATATAATCGCGAACATTGGAGTATACAACCTACAAATTACACCCTTCCATATTAGATTAATGTTCAGAGCGTGTAGTCTGATAAATTAACGCTATACCTCATTCTCAATGACATCGTTCTTGTCTTTATGATCATTTTGCTTCTTGTTTTCCCTGCATACATCAATTAACAATTAACAAAAATCAGAAGAAAGACCATTGAAATTAGACCAAATTGCTACTTACTGTAAATTAACTTCATGCAAAGCAAGGTTTTCTCGTTTTAGCTCCTGAAAAACACGGAAATGGCGAAATCGAACCAATAAATCACTAGTGTGAACCATCAGAACTAAAAACAAAAACSAAGCACTACTTACAGCTATAGCGTCATTWTGTTTCCTCAATTGTTCACGAAATTTCTCTTTCTCCCTGGTAAGGAATAGCATACAGATTAAGCATTGGTATACTACAGGCAAATCTTAAAATAAGTATAATTTAGTAAAAGTTGATGCCGGTTACGTTATCCTTTTTGCTTGTAGTTGCGCAATCGTCCAGAATCCTCTCTGAAAAATCAGATTAAAATGTTAAACTATATACTTATAGGACTGCTCCGCTGCGGCCATAATGGATTCACTGTGCGGAGATATTACTCGTATYAATCTGATATATCACGAAGTACCTCTGAAGAACGCATGTCTTCTGTCAATCTTTGGTGGTCGTCATCCTAATACRGTTCATAGAGAATGTTACAGAGATATAAAAAGAAGACTCACAAACTTAGAAATAGTTATACCTGGAGCATTGCCATTTGTTGCTGTTCGGTGACATACCTTATGTCGATAAAAAGCATAAATTCCATTAAAAGTTTAGTGTTGCATCAAATTAATGCAATTTTACTCACTTTATTATACAAGAAACAAGTTCTCTTGTTTTGGACTAAAAAGAATGAATGACCCATGAGCACCAGTGAAAGGAAAAAAGAAATCTAAAACTCAATAAATGAATGACCTGTGTTTGCTGTAACTTGCTTAACGAGTCCATAGTAATATCACTTTCTAAAACCTACAGAAGAAGGGCAGTACTAGGTGACTACTCGTCAAGCCTGAAATGTGCTAACCAAGTATTTAGAAAACGTTTTGCAGTTAATAAAAGAGCGGGATATAAGCTGCACTTACTTAATTGCAATCAGCATTCACTGTGCAAACAAAACGACGCTCAATTGTGTCGTGTTAGTAGCGCGCGCTCGAGTCATCTGAAAGTACAATCATCGCCTTGAACAGGAAAGACAAGTCTTCAGATGCAACCATGATTGTAAGCATCGTTGTATGCAAATGCAATTTGCCTTGCATTGTGTAGTCTCATTAAATAGATCATAATACACAAGAATTATTGGACTCTTTATAATAATAAAATCTGGATAAATTAAAGTACTGAGACGATTGTAAAACAATGAAATACACACAGCTAACCATCTAATCAGAATCAACCAGAAAGACAACATATCAGTCTAACAATCTTTGCATGACAGAATGTTAAATTATGCAACTTTTTTTGCTTAAAAGCAAAAGAGAAAATTCTTAAAATGCTGCTGTAAAACAAGTTGTATCACATACTGCTATTATAATTTTGAATAGAAGTACAAGGGTATGGATACAAATACGGTGTGTTTTGGTCAACTACTCGATGATGATGACCAGTGAAAGGATTGCTACTTCAGTGTGTTTATGACTTCATCATTTCCAACATTTCCTGGAAAAACGTGAGGTCTGACATATCCACTGCTGTTTGCAACTGATAGCATTTCTCTGGGCATTTCTTTAGATGATAAATCATCTGATCGAACTGTCCATAGGCTTCGTCGCCTCATCTTTGTTGGAATACGAACAAACCGGGGATTTTTGGACAGAGTATGACGTATGGTATTCTAGATAAATAAAAAGAATGAATTGACTATTGCCGTAACTTTTTGTACAATTATCTAACTCTACCTTCCATCCACGGGATGCAGGCATTCTTCCCTTGTCTGCAAAGAATGGGACGTTACGAACAATCCAGGAGTAAATCTGCAGTACATTCATTTGTCTCTGTGGTGTTGATAGTATTGCCTTGGCAATTAGGACACTGTAAGGCATGTTCCCCTTGTTAATTCTTATACTTTCCGGCGAACCAAGGTCATTTGACATCTGAGCATATGCATATGAGATGCAATATGATTATGTTAGTTACTGATAGTGATACTTTGTATATCATCAAAACACTACTGCAATCATTTCTTACCTGAATTGGGCTTATCCTTTGGGTGTAGGCAGGGTTCGCTTGAATTACCCCTAAGGAAATGAATATCACTAGACATTTTGTAAAGAGATAAATCACGGTAGATTAACGCGTGCAAATGACTGAGAGAATAATGTGGATTTAAAGAGGCTATCATTCTGCATGAAACGATTAGTCACTCTCTATGGAGAGTAAGTGGACATAAACTGAAAAAGGTCAATCGCTCTGACAATAACACACATCAACTATGCTAAAAATGATTTACACTCTTCGGAAAACAAACGTTTTTGAATTCAACAGGAACTGTTTGCGAGGGAGACTGGTAACGACCTTTATATGTTGACACTTTAATACAATCACATCAAGTAACAAAAATCTTACTGCATCTGATTACTGAAGAGGAGCTCGCTGTCCCGCTACTGGACGCAGCGTTCATCTCTCCCAAGAACACCGGACTAGTTCTTTTACTAGCAACACCATACATATTAGAAATGTGATCAGCAAATCCTCTTTCATTGACTGCAGTACCAGTCCAGAACTTACAATAAAAGTCATAAAGACATATTAATTCAAATTATTATTTGGTCTGGAATTTCAAAGATACAAAGCCGTCATGATCAAATTTGGAGGTTGCACCAGCAGCAAACAACAAATGCCTGCCGTGCAATAAAACTGAGAAATTTGCTAGTTCTTACTGGTTGTCGTAAAACAAAATGTACCATACCTAGTCGCTTTAAAAAAATATTAGATAGTAATATTGTTCTTACTTGATTAACATTTTTCCCATCACCATGATGTGGTAGAGAATACCTGTGACTCTGCTGGTCTTGGTTTCCTTCATCGACAAATTCTAGAATAAAACAGAATAGAATATATTTAACGGGAAAAACTATACACTTAGCTAAATAACTACCAATGTTTATAAATGAAATAAATAACTATTTCAACAAATAATAATAATAATAAAACGGAAGGAAAGAATGGAGGAAGGAACGAGGTGAAGTATAGAAAGAAAGTGCGAAAGATGCGGAAACTGAGAGCTTCATCATTTGCATGTATGACAAATTTAAAAAGCCCTGTAGAAATATAAGATATGCCCTCTATACTACATTTTTACAGCTAGTCTCTAACGGATATTCGTAGTGTTTATATATTTGTTTCTTGGTTATGTAAGTATAATGGTTACTTATCAAAAAGGTTTTTTACCTATCAAAAATGTTTTTCACGAATCAAAAAGGTTTTTCATGTATCAAAAAGGTTTTTTACTTATCAAAAAGGTTTTTTACTTATCAAAAAGGTTTTGCACTTATCAAAAAGTCAGTTTTTTTACGCATCAAAAAGGTTTTTTATTTAACAAAAAGGTTTTTACTATTATCAAAAAGGTTTTTCACGTATCAATAAAGTTTTTTTACGTGAAGGATTTTAAACATACAAGCAAACGCTTTTTGCTTATATGTATACTCTTAATTTTGAAATAATCGGCGCGCCATACTTACCACAACTTTGTCCGTAAACTGTAGAGCTCATTAGACCACTAAAACTGACGTTCCGTTCCGACATGTGACTGTTTTTTCCTCTATCCTCTCGTGGACGGACCCAAGCTTGAGACAAAATACTATCAGTTTCAAAATGTTGTTGTTGTTTTTCGAACATTTTTGTCGGTTTGTGAAAATCCTAAAAGAATAGGAGTTGTATTCTATTGTCTGTTGATGACGTACGCAGATATTTTTAACAACATTCAAACTTGATTAAAAACTTAATTAACATGGTCTGATGATGTAAACATGGGAGTTCCGTTGGTGTACGATTCATATCATATGTATATGTAACAGTGAAAAATAGAACTTAAAAAGAAGTAGGAATGAAATATGAACGAAATCATGACAAAAACTATCATAATATGAGCCTTGCCAATCGTTGTGTTTGACGGGCTCTGTTATTCATTTAGCACGATGGTATTTCAAAGAGTTGCCGTTAATTTTCACAATGCCCAACCCTAATCAAAGATGACGTCATCTAGGCGTGTTCTGACTTTCCCCTATAAACAAAAAAAACATTTAAAACTAGATTAATTAAGAAACTAGTAGCGTCACTAGTGTATACTGCAGTTCCCTCGCTCCGCCCCCAACTAGAAATGCCTGCACATAACTTTCAATACACAGGGAGCCCGAGTATGAAGCATCCCAGCATACACTGCGAAAAGTTTGAAGATGGCGGCTAACGCTGTTCGTGCAGGAGGTTGGCCAAGAAGTCGATCTTCAAGCAATCCTAGTAAATATTTACCGGCACCAGGAGGTACTATCATGGATAAGACTATACGATTGTAAGTCTGGTTTAATGTTTTTGTCTGATTTCAATGAATTGTGTTGATTGATGATGTTTTATATTTTGAAAGTGTGGTCAAAATGCATGGTCTTCGACGCATGGCCTTCGATCTATTATTGTATTAATATGTATAATTTAATTGTTGATCAAGGTATCCTTTAAGCAACTACACGTTTGGGACTAAAGAGGCCCTCTATGAAAAAGATAGGTCAGTAAACCTGAGTCATTTTTTGATGCGCTTTAATATTTCAGGATAATTTCACAATGCCAAGTGTCAAAACCCAGCTGCCGGGGTAAAAAGTAGCAGTCAAATAGTTAAGAAAAAGTTGTTGGTTATCCGTGGGCTAGGTTAGATTGCATGTAAGCGATGAAAATAGCGATTTAGTTTCGATAGCTAAGTGTTGTGTATGTAGTTACAGCCTTTTACACCGGGCTTTTACAATAAGTTCTTATGTTTTGTTTTGGATTCTTTAGCTCTGTTCAAGCAAGATTTCAAAGGATGAGGTTAGAATAATTTCTGATAAAAAGCAGCTGAATGAAAGGGCTAAATCATATTCTTTTGTTGTGACCATTTAACCAAAACTTTTCCAGAGTTCCAGAGAAAGACAGAGCAAAGCCATTGTCGCAATGTTGGATGAATGTTCAAGAGAAATGAGGAATACTTTCATATTTACATCCAACATGGCTGCTATGACATTACTCGCAAGAATTTTTGAAGTAACTTTACCAGTCAAGATATAGCTGCAATACATGAAAGCTTACTTGACATTTTAATCACTAACCAGTTAAATTCCCTACCCTGAAAAAAATTGATGATCCGAAATGTTCCTCTACCACTTGATCGACGTCAGAGTAGTCAGAAGGGCTTCATCAAATTGACTAAACTGGCCTTTGGACTGTCAGTAGTCATTGGTAATTCCTAATATAGCGAGATAGGGTTCGTCATCATATGCTCTGGGTAGACATGATTCCCCCCTTGTCAACTAGAGCTAATTTGGTGTTATATATATATAAGCTAATACTCTCCATCTTGTTTTCAATGATCAGAGAAGAATATGAGAAGTTTGGTATGAGGAAAACAGTGGAAGGAGTGTTAATTGTACATGAACATGGATTACCTCATCTACTCTTACTACAACTAGGAACAACATTTTTTAAATTGTAAGTGTTTTAATGTGAAGCTCTGAATCCCTACTAACAAACGCACTGGTCTGTGCAGTTAAGTTATCAATAAATAGCGGTGAATCCTCAATTAATATTTATTTTAGACCTGGAGGTGAATTGATGCCTGGTGAAGATGAAATTGATGGATTACGACGATCAATGACAGAGGTAAGTTGTTTTGATAACAACTATGAATGGATTCCCAGATCTACTGCAACAATTAACGTTCTCAATATTTTCAGTATTAACAAAAAACTTTTTAGTTAAAAAATAAACTCCACAAGGTGGCTGTATTTTATATTATATTAGTTCTTTTGCAGTACTGCTCAGTGTTTTCATTGAATATATTGGTATTACAATGCAGTTAACTTGTCTTGTACAGATTCTTAGTAAACCAGAACAAGGACCCGAGCCCGACTGGATTGTAGAAGATTGTTTGTGCAACTGGTGGAGGCCAAACTTTGAAGCACCTCAGGTAACTGGTGATCTTTTTTTTACTAAATTCATGCCATAAGCAGAAGTTTGCAAAAATGTTGTGGCAAAAGTATGCTGATGACCTAATACATTCCTTTTGAAAATTGTAATTCATGAAACTGTAGCCTTCATAGCTGCTAGTAATATATAAAAGATAGTTTCTAGCTTTCATTAGTTGCATTACAATTGTTAGTGGTAGACAGCATTTTGATTGTTCTCCTTATTTTAATTGTCAAATGATACTCAAAAGATATTCTTTCATAATCCATYATGGATGCCACAAGAACAGAAACTCAGGAATAATAGTTTTAACCTTTCATACTTTGGTTTTCAGTTTCCATACATCCCAGCACACATAACTAAACCAAAAGAACAAAGAAAGTTATTTCTTATTCAACTGGGAGAAAAAGGTTGGTGAACTATTTGGAAAGTTCAACAACGCCATCATTATCTCCAATAATACTTTATCATTTCAGCAAACTTTGCAGTACCAAGAAACTATAAACTAGTAGCTGCTCCAGTGTTTGAATTGTTTGATAATGCCCCAGGATATGGACCAGTTATTGCGAGTTTACCACAGCTTTTAAGCAAGTATGTTTCATGATGGACAATCTATTTATAAATAAAAGGCAACACCAGTGGTAATTTTAAATATTTTTATTTCATTCCAGGTACAACTTTGTATATTTCTGAGGCAATCACTTGCAATTCCTGCTTGACAGCACTTGACATTATCCAAGACAAACAGTAGAAGTACCACTGAACTGGTATCAATAGTGCCAACAAATTGCTGTTATCGTTGTCTACATACATACTACATGTCGTAAATTGTCATTGTAATATACATTTTCTAAATAAAGATGCTCAAATCAAGACAACTTCTTTTTATTTTTRATATATCAACTAATGTACATGCTATTTTGGTTAAATCTTTAAATATTATTTTAGATTTTTTTTAGTTTGTTTATGGAAAATGCATTGCTTCCAAATATTGATTGTGGGGAGTTAGGGTAGTTTAAACCACATATTTACAATATGTACAAGAGAACATGATTATTGCAGACTTACACTTGACATTACCTATGAAGACAGATTAACATCCAAGTTTTGCAAACAACATATAGTTCATGTTGACCTGAGTTCTTAGGAAAGAAAAATGGTGTCAGTCATCTTTCAAGTTAAAAGGCCACCAGCTATAGTATGACATCCCCACACAATGCTATTACAGATATCAAATGATAGAGACATTTGAATAGTGTAATAATATCAATAGTATCAAATACCAAACAAGAAAAACTTGTATACAAACTTTTAATGATATCTATGCTACATTGAATTCAGTGAGCAACTAGAAATGATCATGGCAATAACATGGAAATTAGAAATGTCATACTATTTTCAAGCTAGTGATGCCTTACCAAATAGTTCTGTTTCTTGGTGTTAGTAATGATCTTCTGTGTGTTATCATCTTCTATTCATCTGGAACCTGAAAGGTAAAAAGAAAAAACGACGAGTGCAGGCCGTTCCAAAGGCAATATAACCTATAGTGTAACTCCTCAAATGTTGTTTTACTGATATTTTGTCTTTTTCTTCTGGTTCAGTGTTGTTTTATGTGCATCATTTGTGCATATTCCAATTCACTTGTAATACCTACACAAGGTATTGTACAATAATGTATACTATACACTGATATTGCAGACATTTTAAGATGTTATTTTCCACCACTGACATTGCGACTGCACTGGCTACAAAATGTCAAGGAGACCATGTCTTGTCCAACATGAAGACAAACRCCACCCTTTACATCCTGACGAGTTTTCTTTCTCTCAGTTGTTACTGATTCTGTTGTGGCACTTCTCTTTGCTCCACGAGTTGGATATCTTGGCTGAACAAACCTGTCTACTTTACCTTCAGCTGACTGTGTCTTGGGTTTGTGACTATCATCAGCATCACTGGCWTCATCTGCACTAACACTAAGAYGTTCTCTACTTGTGCTGGTTGGGTCTTGTGTRCTGGGCTCCTCAGKAGAGGCAAGGTTGAAGGAAATTCCTGGTGTAGAAACCAATCTGTTCATAAGTGTAGACAAYGTACTCTGGTTTGCAAGGACATTCTTTAGATAGGATACTTCYTGTTCCAGATTTTCTACCACTTGGTTGTGAAGTCGATCCTTCGCTTTCAGCATTTCGTTCTCCTTCCTCAGTTCCCCCAGCTCTTTTTCTATGTYCTCCAAATACTTTTTCTTCTTCAAACGATTTTCACGAGCAGCCAGAGCATTCTTTTTGCTTTTTTCTGCTTCACTTATCTCAGTCGTTGGTTTGGACGTTGCTGCAGATGGCACAGAACSACGTTTGGATTCGTTTGACTTGAGTGTTCCTGTTTTTTTGTTTGAAACATTGGCATTCATTTCAGCACCAAATAACATATCAAGATCCAATCCATCTAGATCTGATAAAAAGTTCATTTCATTATCAAATCCACTATCAACGCTATGCGATGGTGAAAGAGCTGAAAGTGTGGCATCTGGGGGATCAAACTCGACACCAATGCTGTCTTTCCAATCCAACATATCATCAGCCATTTTGATTAGTTCTTCCTTCAAGATCGATGAAAWTTCAACGTTAAACGATTCCGCCTTGCAGTAACTGTGGTCTAGAAACACTGCTTTGACGTTAGCAATCTCTAGCATAACAGCTTGGGCTGCTTTTATAGTTTTTCTCGGTGACTTTTTGAATAAAATTGACAGAAATTCACGAAAGAACTCACACACCCTCRAACTTCCTTGAAAACGTTGAGCMAACGTTGTAAGAAACCCCACGTGGTATTACGTCATTGTAACTTCTGCGCATRCTCAAAGTGGTCATGTGATGCGAAAATCAGTAATTATGTTCAGCGGAACAGCACAAATTATTTCACTTATAACGACTTATAACAACATTATTGTAAAACTTTAGACTCCACATCTAAGTAATCAAATGATAATAGTAAGATTTTGCTAAAAAATTAAATTTCCGGAAAGAAAACTATATAAGTTGAAGTTCATCACGTGATATCTTTAGACTTTTATACTTACTGGTCAGCTGTTTACCTTTTAAAAACAAAAACAACAAAGATGGCGGACTAGCTGACATAATAGTGTCACGATCTTTTTTATATGATAGACGTTTTAACACATTGAAGTGTTGTGGAGGGAAATAAGAAAATCTAGATATGTTGAATAGCATGTTGCCTARTACTCTATACTGATTTTCCACAATGAATGCACTACTGAGAGGGGTTTTTGGCCATTCAAAGATTTCGTGCWATCCTMAGTTAGKAAGAGGTTATCATTCTATTTGGCGGTCATTTGACACTAGAACTTTAAGCACGGCATTTATGCACCAACTAAAACGATTGGACAAGTGTGAAGCTTCATATTCCGTTTGGAAGAGATCATTTAGKGCCTATACAACATCTCTTGGCAAGGTTTGTGACAAWTTTGTCAGTTTATGCAGTCAAGAAGTGTTCATTACTTGGTCATATAATTACAGTGTTCAAAATGTGTTGCTTTTATATTGAGGTTTTTMTTCTTCTTAGATAAATAGAAATAGCCGTCAATTGTTTGTTTATTCATTATATCCACTGTTAAAGCATGGAGCTGGAAATGAAGGTATACTAAGTAATACCAACAAACTACATGTAATGTGTGGCTTRCAGTGATTTTATTAATATTCATTTATATTTAAATGCTGTAGATGTGGAAAAATTTCTCAACCAGACTATTTATGTTCAAAATATACATTAGGGTTTTATAGATTGTTTTCAACAAGTTTTCAGAGGGCATCTCAAGAAAATCCTTCTAATAAACCCAAGGAGAGTAAGTACGAAACAATAGAATAACATTACACAAGCTGGTAAATTAACTAAGGCATTATACCGTCATTGCGTGGTTTCTTTACTTATGAATAAATTCAATCAATTTTCATCAATATCTTTATGTCACTTACCTTCAAGATGAACCTAAATTAGGAGAAGATCCTAATCAAGGAGGTTGGATCCAGATTCTTCCATGGATAGTTTTAGCAGCATTCTACTTACTAACAGCAGGWACAGATCCAACACCAGAAACAACATGGACAACATTTTATAGAGAAATGCTATCAAAYGGAGAGGTGGGTACCAAAGATATGACCAAAATATAGTATTATATYCTCATTATGTTATTTATATGTAGGTTGAACATTTAGAGGTCCCTGCATCACAAGATAAAGTATATGTATTCTTACACAGGGGAGCATTGGTAGCAGGAAAAGAGGTGMARTTTGACAACAGACAACAGTCTTTTTTATGYCAWTATGSAGTTTTATGGAACTCTATAATKATTGAATTTGTTCACAGGTCTATTCTTATGGACCACACTATGTATTTAGTATTGCCAGCTTGGATAGTTTTGAACAAAAAATGACCCAAGCACAAAAAGAGTTAAAGATTGCACCTCAGGAGTATATCCCAATAAAATACAGAGCACAAAATGAACTTCTGTAAGTAATAACACAGTCACTAAAACCAATTATCAATAGATTGCCATGTAGACATCAACACCAACCCATTGAGACTCTAATTTAAGCTCTAGTATTATGATGATTTATCAGTGACATTGTTTGTTTTAGATCTAGTTTACTGGGAGCAGCAACAGCAATAGCCTTTATAGGTTTAGCTTGGTATTTGCTTGCTGGTAGAAGAGCACCAGGAGGTGGAAGTAAGGGTGGTATTATGGGAGCAAATCCTTTTGTAAGTCTCTTATATCATCATTCTTATTGTCCAAAAAACCCCAGAGATTTGGTTGATATTGAATGCACAGTCATGTTTGACTGAAGATTAATGATGAGTATGTAAAAGGTCTGACACCCCATTCCTTGCCACAATCCCAAAGCCGATACAACTTTATTCAAGTGTAACATTGTTGTAGCCGTCTGAGCATACAATACCAGTCACTGCTTCATGCAGGCCTCTACTACAAGTCCAGAACACTAAGYCATGTGTTCCTGGTATCTAGTGAGTGTGTACTGGAAATGGTACAAGTCATTCTTGTGCTTTAAATTAATCTGCTCATTGTATAGTGGGAGGAATGGCTGATACTGTGACTTTAAAGCTGATATCTGAAATCTTCAGTGATTTTAACTACCAAACATAGATTTCACTTTTGTCCATAAAGTAAGTATGTTTATTTTGTTATTGTAGTCCAACTATATCAAGGCCAAGGCAACAGTAGTGATGCCAGGAACAGGTCATGGTGTTACGTGAGTTCAATTACTACATTWAAGATTACTATAATAATTTTTGAATGAATATGTGAAACTGTGACTAATTTATTATGCTGCATACGTAATTATGTAAATCATTTTTTCTATTTCTGATATCATATTTCTCTTGAGGTTTTTTTTGTTTGGTAAGTAAGTATTTATTTCTCATTTCCTGTGATATTTTAAAAGGTTCAAAGATRTTGCTGGCATGAATGAAGCCAAGCAAGAAGTCATGGAGTTTGTTGATTATCTTAAATCTGCAACAAGATATACCCAGCTTGGTGCTAAGATTCCTAAGGTTATTATGGTTGTCTTTTATTAGATTAGCATCAGTATTATCATCATGTACATACCTAATACTTTTTCACTGGTGTAGGGAGCTCTTTTAGTTGGCCCACCAGGGACGGGCAAGACATTGTTAGCCAAAGCAGTTGCTACAGAGGCTGATGTTCCTTTCCTTTCAATGGCTGGATCAGATTTTGTGGAAATGTTTGCTGGTGTTGGRTCTGCTAGAGTTAGGGATTTGTTTGCAAGAGCAAGAAAACTTTCTCCTTGTATTGTGTACATTGATGAAGTTGATGCCATTGGYCGTTCAAGAAAGTCCACGTGGGTAGCATATCATTATGATAATGCATCATTTACATTTATCCTGACAATGGAATGATATACTTCCTTATTATTTTTCAGTCAGTCTATGGGTGGGCACAATGAGCAAGAAAATACTTTGAATCAGCTCTTGGTAGAAATGGATGGTAAGCATTGCATCACTCATTACACTTTCTTTAATGTAAATCTGATGATTGTTGTTATATTTTTATAGAATAAACTTATTCAATTCTTAATTTTTTATCAGGTATWAATACAGTAGAAGGTGTTGTCATGCTTGCATCAACAAATAGAGCTGATATACTAGACCAGGCATTACTACGACCTGGTCGCTTTGATCGCCACATTGCCATAGACTTGCCAACTCTACCTGAAAGACTGGCAATATTTGAAGTCCATCTGAAAAAGTTGACTCTTGGAAAACCCATCAAAGATTACTCCAGGAGGCTGGCTGAATTAACACCAGGCTACAGTGGTGAGAAAAGGCTTTAGGACTAAATTTAASGCAGGAAAAAGAAGGGTTGAGATTGATGAGAATGAGAGCATGAARGAAAGAGGAATGAAAGGAAGAATGCATCRAGGGGAAAATGGATGGGAGAAAAAAGAAACTGTAACTAAGGTCAAAAATTACTGAAAAACTGTCATTAAATCATTGACAATATATGAGAGAACAATTGTTGATGGAAACTAGAAATTGAATGATGTATGATTGCTACAATACTCTTTGCTTTTGTTCGTSTAGGTGCTGATATTGCAAACATCTGTAATGAAGCTGCTTTGCATGCTGCCAGGTTAAATGAAAAAACTGTTGATGTCAAAAACTTTGAGTATGCRGTGGAAAGGGTCATTGCAGGTAATAGATGACTGTCAGACACTTCATTGTTAATATAATAATGAGTGATCTGAAAAGACTTTTTTTACTTTGCTGTTGATTTTGTGTCATTATCAAATTGTTCTTTGTAGGCATGGAGAAACGCAGTAACACTATGTCACCAGAAGAAAGAAAAACTCTTGCATTTCATGAGGCAGGCCATGCTGTTGTTGGCTGGATGCTTGAACATACTGACCCATTACTCAAGGTAGATATTTTAATCCATTGCTTGCAGTACTGTTATCAAATCAAACTTATTTGAATCCAAATCAAGATTATCCATTGCAAAATGTGATTTCACACTCCAGATGATCACAAAGACTGAGTCTTTGTCAGTATTTAACAATTAAATTATTGGTAAAGAATTTTACTTGAAGATCATTTTTGTTACCATATATGTATATATAAAACGGCCGCTTGTGTCTCTGTCCTCTGATATAAACACGGTGGGAGTTCGAAAAACACAAGAGAAGCAAGCTTAGGAACACGACCGTAGCGAGTGTTTCTCTTGCTTCTCGAGTGTTTTTTAACTCCCACGGTGTTTATATCAGAGGACAGAGACACAAGCGGCCGTTTTATATCTATTTTATAAAATTTTTCAAGCGAAAAGAAAATTTTGCCGGTAAGCCGTGTCTCTTTCCTCTGATATAAACACGGTTGTCAGCCAATCAGAGCGCGCGTTATATATCGAAAATTTTATAAAACTTAATATAGACTGGTCATTGTCATGCTTTCTAGGCCCCTACTCTCCCCTCCCCCCCTGGGTATGATCATGATGCAACTCCAGTCAAGGCAGTCAAATAGTAAAGATATTTTCTTCTTTTATCCTGTAAGGTATCCATTGTTCCTCGTACTAACTCTACACTTGGTTATGCCCAATATTTGCCATCAGACCAGAAACTTTATACCACAGAACAGGTATAGACTRGAGATGTAATAAATTGACTCCCACAACATAGTAATATGCCTCAACATACATTACTTTTGCCAGCTTTTTGATCGCATGTGCTTAGCTTTGGGTGGAAGGGCAGCAGAAAGCAGGATTTTCAGAAAAGTCACAACTGGTAGGTTTTCAACTCAATTGAAAGGGTTTTGTTCTTGATAGTTTATATGTAGCTTTCTGTTACTGATAGGAGCTGAAGATGACTTGAGAAGAGTCACAGATATGGCCTACAGACAGGTATATCTCAGTTATGTCATCATAATCACAGATTTTCAGTGGGTTGCATGAGAAAGATTTTGTGTCATTGCTCTTGTTCTCATTCAACATTTAATTTTCACTGTATATTTGCGTTTTTAGATAGTGACATTTGGTATGAATGACCGGGTTGGAAACATTTCTTTCCCTGTCAAGAGATCTTCAGAGTTTGGCAAAAAGCCTTACAGTGATCAACTGGCATTGGTGATTGATGAAGAAGTACGTTTGCTAGTAGGACGAGCGTTTGTKAGAACACAAGAAATACTGGACAAGAACCATGACAAATTACTCAAGGTAGGCTGCAGTGGGTTGTGACGTGTGATGTTTAGTTTGACCAATGGCTGATTTTTTTGCACATTTCTTTTTCAAGTCTTGATTTATTCATTTTCACGTTTTTTAGTTTGTTTTCTTGATATTTATTTCTTGTAGTTTTGGTGTGTGTKTTTAATGAAATATCAATATTTTCATTCAATAGTTAGCTGAAGCACTTCTTGATAAAGAAGTACTGAATTATGACGACATTGCAGTCCTGATTGGGGAGTGTCCATATGGAGATAAAAGACACAAAATAGACTCCAAGACTACTGCAGACCCTTTCAACACAGAAAAACAGTTACCAAATGTGTGAATATCTGTGATAATCATCCTGAAACCCATTTAAGTGGCATAGATGTTACCATGTCTACAATAACGATTGTTGTAAATAAAATAAATCAAAAACTGATAAAGATTAAAAAAAAAATGATATAAAAAGTGATTCTTGAAATAAATCAATACAGGGACCCCTATTGATGCGTTTACATGCGGTGTGGTCCAGGGGGGTCAGATCAAGCACTGTGGTGCATGGGTAGTGCATAGATTGATGCTTTCTGATCTCCTTTGTAACCATACCTACCATGGTGACCTGTAACCCTCCCTGAGGCCCAAAAAGCTGCAACTGCGAATAAAACATAAAAACTCTGGCATCCTAAGTTGCTATGAAGCAACTAATTTGGAAAGCACCAGGCATTAGCACGCTATAGCTATGGTCGCGCGGACTTGTCTATATGGAAGAATGGGTACCAGTTGAACTTTGSCTTCATTGTATTGCGCATGCTTACAAACATCCTTTTTTCTATGCACAAAATGGCGGAAGAGGCTCCAATGAAAACTTTCTCTTTTGAAGAAGTAAAAGAGCACAACAAAGCGGGAGGTTGCTGGCTAGTTATACATGATAATGTTTATGATGTAACAAAATTTCTTGATGAGGTAAAAAGTTAAAAATCGCTAGGACTCTTATGAAGTTATAAGGTGTTTATTTTGTGCCGGTCGGTACAAGAATTAAAGTTGACATTGGGTGGGAAGTGCTTTGAGGCTGAGTTTTATCATAACGAATATATTATATAAGTTCATATTCTCTTAAAGTTCTCTAATATAATCTATAMAAGTATCATAAAAATATAAAAGCTATGTCATTAAAGTTGCGTAATATTCGAGTAGTTCACTGATCTATAAAAAGATGATTCAAGTCAGAACATATCAAGGTTAAGCTTTAAGTGAAACAGTTATTATAATTCACTATTTTTACACGATGTTTTCCTCACTCAACTATAATAATACACTAGAAATTACCACAGAAAACTATTATCCAGATATTGCTCAGTGGCTGCTCTAGAGGTATTCCTAGGTGCGTTAAGCATAACATAGACCKGTGAAGCACTTTGTGCCAAATCAAATGAGGAGCCTTTTAGGCTAGCCAACAGTCTCAGACTGGACTTGGACATAGCTGGGAAATAATAGTTACTGTTCCATTAAAAGAAATTTCCTCAACTTTGTTATTATTTGATTCCAGCATCCTGGAGGAGAAGAAGTGTTGTTAGAACAAGCAGGTTAGAAAACATGAGTAATTATGGCCCCGTTCACATGGGGCCATTTCCATTTGGAACCATTCTAGTCTAGGCACACGTTCACACTGGAACTGGCCTTGTCTGAGGCTGGCAAAGTGGTCAGGATTGGGGCCGGCTAAAAAGCCATCCCACTTTGAGGACAGGTCACTTCGAAGCATGAACGTATCCGTGTGAACAGTGGGAACTGTCCTAAAACCGAGGTTTCCTCAAACTTGACTGGCCCCGTGTGAACGTAGTCTATGTTAGAATCATGGTTAACTTTAATCAAGGAAATGGAAATAATATTGAGATAGATTACCAAACATTTTTGAGCTATGCAGGGTGTCAAATGTCAGAAAAGCTTTACTTGCAGTTTGACTTTCTCATACCAAGAAAATTATTGCTTATGTGATAAATAGAGTACTAGCAACTTATGTCCTTGTGTGATATGTAGGTGGAGATGCAACTGAAAACTTTGAAGATGTTGGTCACTCATCTGATGCTAGAACATTAATGAAAGATTACTTAATAGGAGAGCTTAAAGAGGTAGATTTTTATTAATGCATCTTTCCAATGCTTGTCCACTTAAGTATACAGTGTCTAGTTGTATAGATTTCAACAATGACTACACTTTAAATGAAATAGATTTCGGTAGACCCATTGAAACCTGCTGTTTAATCTCCTTAAGTCGTGACGGGCATTGTTTCAATCAGTTTGTGATGACCCAATGATTTTTKTGTTTGTTTGTAATACATGTAATGCTTGTCATTTCAAATATATTGATATTAACACATGGTGTTTTGCTTGTTTTTCAAGGAGGACAAGCGAGATAATTTGCCGGTAAGTGTTCCTACAATGATAATTCATTATCCAAATATAGTCTGTTGTACATAGCACCTATTTTTTTTTTTTTTCAAAGGAGAGAAAAAAGTGTCTTTTTTTGCGTCTTGAGACAATAATATGTCTAGAAATGAATAGAAAATAAAGAAATTGTTTTKTTTTTTTCAAGACTAAGTTACCCAATTATGACAAGGATGCAAAGGACAAGGACAATGGATCATCTTGGTAAGTATCTTGCTGTACTTAGCAATACTACAATCTTGGTAATTAAACCATCTTTGTCTTGTGCTACATAAGATATTTTTTGTCTGTAATATTCTAGTGTACTGCAGTGATGTTAATAGATAAGGTACGATTGCATAAAGTGTATTGATATAAGGATTCATACTGTACATTTACATCTTTTGTTTAAGCCAAACAATAACAAAAAATAAACTTGTTTTGTTTATATTTCATTTCTTATTCTATTCTATTTTTTTGTTGTTGTTGTTGCAGGTTGGGAATACTTGTTCCAGCAGCAATTGTGGTTGTCATTGCAGTAGCTGCTTATAGATTAGCGATGTAGAAATTTAGCTTTGTACAACATCATTTAATGCAGTATTTGTATCATTCAGAAGCCCTCCTATTTTTTTCTCAAAAGCCAAACAGTTACTAAGTCACATCTGTATGTCAGCCAAAAGAAATGAAGAAATAAATGTGGGGTTTTGCACAAGTTCTTTTTGATTTTATTGTCCTTCATAGTAGCATAACAAGGGGGAGATAGGGGGAATTGCGTCTGAGTAAAAGAAAAGCCACATATTGTACTACTTCATGTGACATAAGGCTTTGGTATTCATGTGCCAACCAAAGACAAGCAACTGGCTGTTTGAACAAAGCAAAACAAAAACAAAAAACAATTATTATCATGTTTGGTACATTAGTATAAGAATGTGTTGTTTTTAAGCATGAAGTATTTTACCAAAATGTAGAAAGCTCTGTTGTTACACTGAAATAAATGCCCAACCTCATCAAATTATGTATGACTGATACATTTTTACAATATATGAATAAATTTCCTTTTGTTTGGCATATAKAGTACTACTAGTAATAAACTCTGTCTTTGCCAAGAAAAATGACTCCATGAATGATTTATTTATTCTGCTTTATCCAAATGCACTTTAGAAACTGTTATTCACGACTATCTGTATAAAGACTACCTAAAATACCTAAAAATACAATGAAAGCAATGATTTTATAATTGAATTTTGTGGAAAACCTGTTCACAGTACAAAAYTAAAATTGATAAACAGTTAGGGGGGTTGAAGGTTAACTGAACAAGCTTGGTGYTTGAGTAAATTATCTACATACATAAACAACTAGGCTGAATGATAACTTTATGATATTTTTCAATTATTTTCATTGAGAAATGTTCAATATATTCAACGATAATTTATTCTAAAAAACAATATATCCAATATCAGATGCAGTGCATCTAATAAATTTTTAAAAATATTGTTTGGAGAAAAACTTCCTAAAAAAAATGCGCCCCACAGAAGAAGAAGCGTAAATAAAAAGCACACAGTCTGATTGGTCAATTTACAATAGTGAGGGGATGGTAATGGGTGGGTGCTGTATTGGCCAATCAGATCAAATCATGAATAAATTATTTYGTTTCTTGCGTAGAGTAGATCGTCGTTCGTTAAAGAAAAAACTTTGCCCTTCAAAACCCTAAACCTGTGCTGCACTTGAAATCAACAAGAACACCGGTAGTTAAGGTAAATCATTGTTAGTTTTTAGACGAAATTTTCAGGGAAAATTGAGAACAGAGATGAAAAACGAAAGGTTGGTTGAAACGTGGCAGGTTGTTTACTTCTTATTAGTCGGAATGCTTGGCTRATTTTCGCAATATTTAGTAGAATGCTCGGAGTTTATTGATTATTTTTTCYCTAATAATGCTRCTGTATTTTTATGAAACAATTTCAGYTYCAACRGTGTCTGTGCGTTGGATGAAAATTGCATAATTTGCCCACCAAAWTGATCAGAATACCAAACAGTAGTGAAATGTATGTTAAATATTTCATTTCAAATAACTACGTAAAACTGCTTTACAATAGAGGTGTCTTTTCGATTACTGTTTGGCTTTTCATTAGCCTGTTTTGCAGAYTATTGATATACATGCTCGATATCACGCTTCTCATCGAAAACATAGGACAAACGGGTAGAAAAGCAAAMWGAGCCGGCGTGAAAYATGGCTATCAAATCATCAAACAACACCGACCGATCAAAAACCGGCCAAGCAACCAACCAGACTGTTCAACGATTTGCATGAAAACAGAAAAAAAAAGCCTTAAAAGTAAAAAGGTTTTGTGACATTAAAAAATCATTCTAAAAAATCATGAATTAATTGTACAGATTTTATGTGACGCAGTATGTGTTGGATCAGCTGATCAAATTTTACCACATAAATGATCGAAAATTCCCTGTATTACAGTTTTTAACCACTATAGCTACCGAATCTGCACGAAATAGTTTTTCCTATGTTATATATATGTTTTCAAAATTGTACAATTTAGAATCTTGAGAGCTACAGGTAGAGCGATGGCAACGAGTGAATCTTTTATTCATCTTGTGTTGTCATAACAATATCTTATATACGTTATATCGAGATATATATACCAAAAAGGTGATAATGTTCTGTTCTTAGAATTCCATGTATCAAACCAGTACACTTTGTATATTTAATTGAATATTGCGTCAGACAGAATATACATATCATTAACATAGTGGATTAGCACGTGTACAAGGTGGATATGGTCTTTTAATAGGTCACGACGAAATTATGAATCTGAATTTTAACCTAGTCAGGACATCACGAAATATTATCATGTACTCTCCAGTAAGTACAAAGAAGATCAGCAGCTGTTTGTATTGATCTGAATTTCCTTATACAGGTCTGTTATTTGCGTCTTGCTGTCCGCGTACCCGGTGGCTATGCCGATGCAAAATTGTACAGTTTCAACGTTACTGTTCCATGAATATTTCATAGCTTAATGACCAGATAACACAATATGCAATATGCGCAATATGCGATCGATTTCAAACTTGCCAGTTAGCTGTCATTATTWTATGGAATGGGATTTTTGAGAGACACGAGCCTTGGCGTGGGTGGTTAGACGGGTTAGGTCAAGCATAGTTTCCTAACTACAGTACGGGACAAGGTTATTACCCTGGATTTTCCCTTCATGCATCCGCCGATCACCTTCATGGCTTTTCTTATACGCTTTTTGAGTGCTTTTATTAAGCATGATGACATTACGTGATGTATTTTTATCATTTTAACCAGACTTCACACATTTAATGTGCATAAATTTACATAAATAGGTTTCTAAATCTAGTTCGAAAATGGAGGCTGGGCACTGCTAGTTGAATAAATATATAATAGCGTATTCCCAATAGGGGTATGACCTCAAACCCTCACCTGAGGGTCAAATGGTTTTAGAAGCACATACAAGTGAAGATAAATTCCATATATTACAGTGTTATCCACCAATATATTGACATTGTGACGAGTGCTATCTCTGAGGAAGTTGGCATGTACCTTAATTTTATACCGGTATCTGATATAAAATTGATTCAATATATGTACACATAGCATCATATGATTACCTTTCCTTTCAAAAATTTACCTGAATTCATGTGAATTGTATCCTGCATKATTTTATCATTTTGACCAGTACTTGAGAGAGCATTTTACAGCAAATAGAAGAGGTTCCCTTACCAAATCTATCTCAATTAAACCCCTGCAATATTCTCCAGGTGCAATATTCCAGCTGTTCATTAACATTTTAAACTTCTTTTTCTAGATAAGAATGTCATCAACAATTACAATGAAGAAGAAAAAGTGGCATGTACCAGCATCAAAGACAGCAAAAGATACTTTTAACCCTATTAGGGCCATTGTGGATACTATGAAGGTTCAACCTAACCCTGATAAAAAGATGATAGCCCTATCGATTGGTAAGGGACATGTTGAATCAAGTTAACTWCCCATATATATATATWWATATATATCTCCCCTCACTTCATGTGATTGGGCCTATTGGACATATTGCATATTCAGCATTTCTTTTGTATAATGCAGGTGATCCTACGGTATTTGGTAACTTAAATCCACCCAAAGAGACTGTGGAGGCCATTGTGGACAGTGTTAGAGCAGGAACAAACAATGGATATGCACCTTCTACTGGTATGACAAACATACACTACCACAGTCTTATCTCTACATGACAAACATACACTACCACAGTCTTCAATAGACTCTAATCTCTACATGACAAACATACACTACCAGTCTTCAATAGACTCTAATCTCTACACCTAGAGTGTAATWAACACTATTAAATCTACTGGTAGATAAATTCTTTGCAGTCACATCATAAYGTTTTTTTATTTTTGCTAGGTTATCTWAAAACAAAGCAGGCCATTGTTAAGTTTTGTTCTCACCCAAATGCWGAAGTAGAGGCTAAGGTACTGAAAAGCTAGGTTCTTATTATTGGTATGAAGGAGAGGATAGTACATGTTGCCTGCCAATCAATGCTTGTTTGTGATTGACAGATAGCTATTGTTTTTAAGTAATGTCATGTTAATGTTGAGACAGTAGTATGATGTTTAAGTGTTTGTTTCTTACAGGATGTAGTCCTATCAAGTGGTTGTTCCAATGCATTAGAGATGGCAATTGAYGTGTTGGTYAACCCAGGAGAAAACATTCTTCTACCATTACCAGGATTTTCTATTTACCAGACAATCAGTGTCTCAAGAGGACATGAAGTGCGCACATACAACTTGTTGGTAAATACCATCCAAAAATAATCGCAATAAGAAGTGCCATCTAAGAGGAGCTTTGTCAGAMTATGTCACTGCACCATGACTATAACTTGACTGCAAAATGATTATTGTTAATGATGGCGTCTTTGTTCTTTACCAGCCTGAGAGGTCATGGGAGGTAGACATAGATCATTTAGAGTCTCAAATAGATGAAAAGACAAGAGCAATAGTGATAAACAACCCATCAAACCCATGTGGATCAGTCTACACCAAAGAACACTTGGAAGCAATTCTTGAAAGTAAGATTCATGTTTTCCACTTGYTTSCATGTTCACCATGTCCAACATATTTGTAATTTTACTTGTAGTTGCTGAGAAACATATGGTTCCGATAATCTCTGATGAAGTCTACGCTGACGTAGTAAGTAGTAATTAATGTTGTGACCAGAATAGTGTTTGATCACTCTGTTAGTATTGGAACTTAAATTGACTTCACAAAATGTAAAACAAGAGTGACGTCATGCAATTAGAGTACCATTTAAAATTTGAAAATGTCATTTTTTTAGGTTTTTCCTGGGAATACRTTCTACCCTCTGGCAGCCCTCTCAAAGAACGTCCCTATATTAACCTGTGGAGCCATTTCTAAAAGGTTTTCAATCAATGGTTTATTGATTTCTGAGATGACAAGTCATATTTATTTTATGGTTTTGTTYTAGATTTCTTGTACCTGGATGGAGGCTTGGATGGATTTTAATTCATGACAGAAATGGAGCATTTGAAGATGAGGTGAGTTGTTAACTAATGATGACAAGGATTATAATTAAACATGCAGCATATGGAAAGAGGAACACATTGATATGTTTTTCATTATACAATCAGTAATGGATGTTTTGCAACTGTTGAATAAAGTTTGTTCATGTAGAGTGTCTTGTATTTTACAGGTCAGACCAGGTCTAACATCACTATCACAGCAGATTCTAGGTCCAAATACCATCATCCAGGCTGCAATWCCAGATATCTTTTCCAAAACACCAAACAGCTTTTACGAGAATGCTATCAATGTGATGCAGGTAATGAAAAAGTCAGAATATTTAGGCACAAGATGTCTGGCTTCTTGTCTGTTGTTATTAGGAATATTACTAAGACATTCTGTGCAAATCTTAGAAAAATGCTATGATATTGTATGAGGATTTAAGCAAGATTCCTGAACTGATTCCAATCATGCCGCAAGGTGCTATGTACATGATGGTAAGTACTTATTTGAATTGCCGTATGGTTTGTTATTGTCAGTAATGCTATCTTATCTACTACTTGTTAATAGGTTGGTATTAACACATCAATGTTTGAAGATATCAAAGATGATGTTGAGTTCACAGAAAAACTTGTAGCAGAACAGTCAGTGTTTTGTTTACCAGCACAGGTATGTAGGTCCACATTCCAGTCCAGTCCATTCCTTCCATTCCAATAAAGTTCATACACAATAAGACTGGAATTATTGTTTCAGTGTTTCAGATACCCAAACTATTTCCGTATTGTTCTCACCACACCAGAAGAAATGACAAAGGAAGCTGCTCTACGAATAACAGAATTTTGTGCAACTCACAAGAAGATGTCAAACAGTGTGACAAACGGACAAATGTCTGATGAAGAACATGACAAATAACACCTGATAATGCAACTTTATGAATTTAACRCACAGGATATCAAGGATGGCTAAAAGCCAATCAAACTGCACATGTAATCTGACTTCAATACCTTTTCTAGTAGTTATAAATACTTTGCAAAGTGTCTATCAATGCTCAGGTAGRTCAAATTCTCGATACTAGGTGTTAGTGTTACAGACAGCTGCAGAAACACCTTGAAAAATACTAATTCGGATGTCTGTCCACCTACGTGATGGATTTGAGATAAATTAAGGGCATTGTTTCAAGAGGACCCTCTAAACCCATGAAACAGATGTACATTACACAGAACTAATTGCGTGATGAGGAGTTTGCCATGTTGTTTTATAAAGTTGTGAGTGTTATGAAACTAATAATGTAAGTTTTTACTGCCGCTATTGCGTGAATACAATGATAATGGTATGAAATAATTTTATTTATAAAATATTTTGTTATAAAATTAGTGCGAAGTATGCTATAAAAGTTGTGTGATGGACATCATAATATCAAAGATATCTATTTAACATGTTATTAGGTATTATTTAAGCTAGTATATGGCAGCCGCAGTACACTGAAGGAAAATCATGATATGTACAGTAGATCTAGKACTATGCGATTGCCATGACAAAGAAAACAACAAAATACAGTGTGAAAATGGAAATTTTTTCTATACTTTTGGACAATACTTAAAACTTGTAATATAATACTTATAAAAATGTTTATCAGGAGAATATAAAAAATAAGAAAAAGCAGCATTGTTACGACAAAGTTTTAATATAAGAAAAAAAAAACGACTTAAAACTTCATGAAATATTGAGGAAAACGTCTATCTTTTGTGACTATGGTATTATTATGGTATTTTGTGCGCTTATTTATGACAAATAAAACAGTGTTAATAAAAAAAAGCAATTGTACTGTTCAATTTCATTTTTTCCTTATAGCTATGTTTCATRCGTCTAGTGTTTCTTGTTCTGTGAATTATACAGAAAACATCGAGTGCTAAAAAACTGCTGCACGTCCTCGTCCTAGGGAACATAGTCTAACTTATAACTAATGCTAGTTACAAGCGCGTTGTAATTGGTCAAAGTGTGCACAACATTTCACGGGTAAACGCACGCTCTGAAATGAACCTTTCTGTATAAACCTTGACGCGTGAACCGAAAAAATAATGATTACAATCCATCCGTGAAATACTAACATACTTTACACTAAAATGGACGCGTCATACATTATAGTTCTTGATGAATACAAAAGATGCAGTCTTATCATTGCAGTTTCGTCAATTCTTGCAGTTTTTGCAAAGTGGCTTAGTTTCACCATAGTCGACGCAGTAATGGCCGACACACTGACAGCATCCATTGTGAAACCATCGATATCGTTGAGCTCCCATCGAGTTGCAAACTGTTTTACAGTGCTTCAGTGAGCGACAGTTGTCAAAAAATGCCGTTTTACATATCTGCTGAGAGTTCCCACTACGCGTTCTATTACCTGCAACTAGAAATTTTAAAAGAATCAGCTTGGACTTGACTAACAATCATCACAGCAATCACTAACTAATATATTGATATAGCCGGGTAAAGCGTGGACATTTGAGTTGCTTTTGCTGAATGGATCGTTTTTCCGCGTTCAGTCAATATGATAACAGCAAAGCGCCAATTCATGCGTTTTTTTAGGTAGGTTCCTCAGTTACGTGGGAGAAAAATACATACGCTACGAAAACGCAGTGTATTGCGCGTAAAAACTGAAAACCAGAGGAAGAGCACAAATCGTCTTTTTTTTGTAAAAACTCCCTCCCATTTTCAAATTTTCACGAGCAAAATTTCTTAAAATGTTAATATTCTCGCTAATATAATAAAATAGACACCTAAGTTTGTACAAGACRATCACTTAAAAAACCTAAATTAGTTTTGCAATCCGCCGACAATCTCAATAAAGTCCTTGTAGTCCGTACATAGGCATGTGGAACCAGTCGAGTGGATTGAGAGGATTTTGTACAAATTAGATTATTATACCACTGAATAGGTACATATTCTACACAAGTAACATCATCAAAYAGTGTGAGAGTCTTGATAGTGCGGTGTTGACAAAGGCGAAAGTTGGTCCGATTTTTAATAAAATCGAATGAAGTAGAAGTACTCGACCCTCTTCACTCTCCTTCATGTACCGCAAGAATCTGGCTTTTACTAACAAGATGAGTTTATTACTGCCTGTGAATAGACAACCTTCAGACATCGTGTCTTTATCAAATCTCTACAATCTATAAAAATTTTAATTTTCAGCAAGCACTCAACTCGAGAAACTCGCGCGGAAGTACTATGAGTACGAGGTCGTACCAAGGCATTCACCTTCTCAATCTCACTAAAATCCACGAACTCTAATTACAATGAGGATCACATGATAAAGTTGTTCAATCCTGATAAAACACTGATGATTAATTCATCAGTTGAATTTGAGGTAAGAGAGAGCGGTTTCTCCTTCGCACTACTTAGTGGGGTAGTACCCAATCCTTTCCGGAGACTATAGGGAACATGCGCATTCCACACGCCCCGATCCAGTCCGCCAGTCGCACTTGTTCTCAAGGAGCACTCAACCCTTGTGAAGCCTGACCAAGGCAMTTATCAAGTGGTCGAACAAAGCGATCCTCTAATTATCAAATAACACGCCCTAGACAAACAGACATTCGCACCTATCCTGTGATGAGCACTGCTCATCGATGTGGGAGRACAGGAGATGTACTGTGATTTGCTACATTAATCTCACTATTAGTAAAAAGGTTTGCATTTTGAATTGGTAAATTATCGRGTATTAAGATTGAAGGCGTTGAAGTGTATACCTATTTTCCTAGTTATAACATATCTTTGACCATTAACTAGGATAATTTGTATCCAGATTACAGTATACGAACTAGACAAGGAGATCGTTACCTTGTGATGGTTGCGTTGGAGTGAAAGAAGCGTGTGGACGAAARGTAAACACCGCAGGAAGATCGTTCTGTCCTTCACTTAGTGCATTGAACAGCGATGGAATSGACGATGACAGGTCACCAATTACATAATTCAAAGGAGACGAACTTTCAAGGTGTGCAAGACAAAGCCCCAGACAATCACAGCAAGAATTCCACAGCGACCCCAAACAATTAGTGCAGTCTGCGCAGCAGGAGCAATCAGGGGGGACGCAATTACACGCCTGCATYAGTTGACAAGCAGAAAGACGTGACGCACATACTTGCTCGTTACATGGTCGGAATACAGGTATTCTTGGCGAGGTAGTAGCATTATTCGTTGGTCCACAATTTATACCATGATAACATAAAAGAACAGCAGCAAAATACCGAAAGAACATCATGAACGCTCTATCTGGTCAATATACTGTAGTATTCTACCTATGATAGAGAAGAAAGAYACTATTAGAATAGGAATTACGAGCACTACGACGCGTAGTCGTAAACACACATCAAAGCATTTTGAATGAGTTATAACTGTATGTCTATCATATTGATGCCGTGCCGTACTTAAAGGTAGTAGCTGAGTAACAATGTTCATTACTTGTGCTATCTATAGACACGTTTGTGAAAGTATCTGTGTATTTGGTTTGAGGGGTAGTAAAAGTAGTTGTTTATTGTGTAAAGGAGTTTATTAAGCAGGTGTGTATTTTGTAGGTTATTGGTGGAGTTGTTTATTGTGTGATGGTGTTGTTTATTGTAATGTGTWTATTAAGTAGGTGTGTATTTGTAGGGTTATTTGGTGGTGTTGTTTATAGAGTAAAAGGTGTTTACTATAYAGTAGGTTACTGCGTAGGCGTTGGYTTTAAGCTTATTTGTTTGAAATCATAAACAAATAATTGTTTTTGGATTATAATCCACATGTCGACTGCGGCGTTGTTTTGCACAGATCAGTTCAAGTMAAAAAAACACAGTACTTGTCTTAAAACAGAAGGAGACCTTTAATTTGCAAAGCACTAGCTCTGTACGTCAAAACACACTTACGCACCGCCTATTTTGGCTTTAGATACGCCAGCCYCTTGAAACATCTCATGAAAATAGATTAATGAATTTATAACAGCCCATGCTAGTAATCAAGGGAATAAAATCAGGTTTGGTCTCATTTGATAGAGGAGGGTCAATGGCCTTGAGGAACAGGAATCGTCGTAATTGCTTTATCATCTGAAAGCGATCGACMGGATTTCTTGAGAAAATTCCGTCATGACAACGTCTTATCTTAAAAACACTGAAATGTTTAGTAATTTCTACTTCTSTTGRTGTGGTAATTGGATATTTATSACCAGTGCTGTTGTCTGGTGCTATGATGGACAGTAGAGCGATTAATAATGTGAATTTTTCGATAAAAAGCTCCTGGCCAGACGATGAAAAAGGAATGTAATCCCTCTATTGAATCACATGCGAAATAGATTAAGCTTTTTGCTGCTGGAATTCTATACATTTGAAGAAAAAAAACACTTCCTTCATAGCTTCAAATATCCTGAGAATCAAACACCGAGATTGGACTGATCAAAAACGATCTGACTCGAGTACTGGTGTACATCTTTGTACATTAAAACATCAAACTCCGTCGTACATCAAAATCATCAGAAATAAATGGCTCACCTTAAATACACCAACGGAAAACTGAGATATATGTTGAAGACCTTGAAACCCTCCACGCGTATTGTGTAGTTCAGAGAATATTTGAATGACTGTCAGGGATCAATAGCCTCTCGATTATACCCCAAATAATCATTGCTGTCAACACCATATCAAGGGAGCTGTCAGGACCGGCTTAGTTSGAGATGACGCGAACATCACCCACTGTGCTTTGTATTAAAATACTCGAGTAGGTTGGATGCTACTCRACGGTCGMCACGACCTTGGGAAAAGAATTTTCTAAAAATTATGCAAACCAGTGACCAAACCTTAATCGAAGATCAAACAATTTTGAAACCYTGCGCTGAATGCAGGATTATAGATATGGAAATGTGCTGTAAAACGAAGGTGCGGTAGTTTTAGTCAAGCAGTCTTTTAGMATAGGGATTCTTATTCTTATTATCTTGTTTTCTTTAAGGACTATATCGACTTCATTACAAGCTTTACATTYGATTCTCAAAGTTGGAGAAAAACAGGATAAATACAGGAAGAATTTCAGTCGCAATTGAGAAACAAGAAAGTAACTAAATGTGATGTTTTCAGTAAATAATTCCTCTCAGTGGATAGCGAAGGTTGATGACCCTGGATATCCTTGGCTCTCCCCACCTAAGTCAGTTTACTGATAAGCGTTCTCAGAAGACCGGGTCAAACAAACGATTTCTTTGCCCTGTCAATTTGATATTCGTTTATTTGATTCTTGTTCAAGTATCGCGCATGCCTTACTTAACAAGACCGTTGTGGGTCATGCTTAACACAGGAAGCCCAAGTTCTGTCTAGTCAATATTTTAGTTGAATAAGCATGTACAAAAGAATGCAGACGAGGCTCCGGGTAAACGATGGATAATCTTAATGTTTCTTTTATTTCCCCGGAGATTCGTCTACATTTCTTTTGTGCATGACCAGTGAACCAAAATACCTAGAGTCGGCTATTAAAATAATTCTTCGCTAAAGGAGTTACAACCCCTTCCACGCATATCTTATTTTTTTTAATACTTTCGGCTACCTGTGTTACATGAAACCCGTCATTTCAATTCATATAATCTGCCTAAAACGTCTAATTTTGGCTTGCATTCCCATATTTGATAAAATTAATTGTTTGTTATTTCTATAATTTCACTTATCTTTGTCTCTCACGTGACCTCTAGTCATGATTTAACTAGCTACTTAGAGGAGTCCCATAAAACATTGCAAGTTGATATAGTGCCACGATGATTGGTCAGTATTCGTACAGCAGGCTCATTGCCTCAGCGGCTTTGCAGCGAACTTTACTAGAAGGATCTTTCAGAAGCATTATGAGAGCTGCAGAACAGAAATAAAGGTGAGAAACTATATTGTAGTACATCTAATACAAAGAGAGTGCTGAGAGTGGGAAAACACTGATTTGAAGAAATTATATTAGACAGGTCAACATCAAAGCATTAAACAAAGTACTGAACACAGATTTTTCCTGTAACGCTCAAAGTACTTTGACMCCCTGACCCTTATTGAACCCTAGACCATGCCAACCCTAACTCGACCCTAATCTAACCCCTACGAACCTCAAACGTCCGTAGTCGGACCCTGATACATACGACCCTGGACCCCCGGACCCTGGTTAATTAATAAGTGGCATCCGAAAATACAGTGTACCAAATAGAGCGCTGCTTGCTTCTCTCACATCTCACAGAAAACTGCCATGGATGGAAAATAATGAGTATCTTACCTCCACAAATGTGATCCTTGGAAATGTCATCTCTTTTATCGACACCAAGATTACCGAGCAGAAATCCTTAGAAAAYAAAGATAGAATACTGAGAATAATTCACCGATGAAAAGACACATTTATTGTCTTCACTCACCAACAAAAAGCGCAGCATTTGCTTTGATATCATCTCGACTACTTTTGAAGAATGATACACATCCCATTACATAAAAATTGACCTTCTCGGGGAAGTCAGCAATCTTTCAAGACAAGAAATAAATCATTTAAAAATTCTATCTGTCAACCGCTTAATTTCATGACATACGTACAATTCGTCGAGAAAGRTCGTTAATGAATTCTCCATAGTGYAGATGCCCCTCTTCGAGAAGATGCTTTTGAAACATTGCGTTAATTTGATCAGAACCAATTAACGGACCAACTGAACGAAGACATTCCTTACAGCTCTGAATGAAAAAAAAATCAACTTAGTATTCATTCACTGATTTACTTAATCATTCATCCATTCAATARTTATTTTGTTGTTCTTTCATTCTTTCTTTCATTGACATTCTTATTTCCCTTTATCCTTATGTTCAGTTATTCAATGATTTATCGTTATTGCTGACTTTAATAGTTTATGTAAGAAAGAAATATGACACAAACAAACCTTGGCAACTTGCTGTTCTTCATTCAGATGCAGAAGTATRCTGATGAAATTCGTGTGAATTTGTTCCAAGAAGGGTGTCTTGGAAGGACCATCACCAAATCTGGACAGTTTGCCAAACAACGTGAAGGCTGCTGCTCGTACCGCTTCCTTGTCCTGTCAGATAACACCATATCTKCTTCATTAACAAGGACAACGTACAMAATACCAGGTAATAAACACAACCAACCTTCTCAAAACATGGTCTGACTCKAAGACAGATGTTGATAAGAATCTGTCTGACATGATTCTCATCGAGTTTGGCCAACACTTTTGACAAGCCTGACATTGCTTCTAGTGTGATCTCGTCGTCAGGGTCGTCACGATCATCCATACCAGTCATCATGGCCGACAGAATCGTAGTAGAATGCTGCTCTACCTACACATTTAAAGTAAAGGATGTTCATTCCAACTTTTTCCACTTTGATCAATGAATGAAAAATTGGAGAAATAAACAAACAGATGGATGAATGTACCTTGGCATCGTCAACACTAGACACGTTACCTAGACCTCGTATACAGTATTGCCTGACAATTCGCGATGTATCCACGAGTCTACTAAGCAGACTAGTCATTAATAAATCCACGAGTTCCATGTGACCACCACATCTCTGATCGATCAACTACAGTAAGTACGTATTTACATCAGAATTATATTGAACAAGACATAAAAACGACATGAAATGGGAGTTTGTTATTTTTYGCGAGAGCAGGAAGTCTCACACCAAGCTATTGGCTAATAGTACAAATGACCAACAGAAATTTAGAGCTTGACATTTCCAATTTGCAGGATTGCAATCTTGTTTCGGTAAGGGTAAAGATGACTGACTTTGATATCAACGCTCTAATTTTGCAATGCAGCAAGACACATGTACGATGAATACGAGTGAAGTGAAAACATACCTCAGAAAAGAAAGCAGCAATCACTATCCTCTGACAATCATACACACTGCAGAATGACGTCTGAAATGACGTCACAATCTTTGCCACGTGTTGAGGAATTGATAGGCAAATACCACTGCCGTGAAATAAAACAAAAATAATCACAGCATAAGGATTGACAAGTATACGCGATATTATTCTTACCGAGCAAGTAAAGTTATTCCTTCTGGAAATTCCTTCTCGTCTTCGAAGTAGTGCCACACATTTTCTTTCTCGACAAAGTCGATCAGTTTACCATACTGACACCGTACAAGAATGGCTTTCATTAGGTCCAAGGCACAGCTGTTGGTAGAGAAGATTACGCTGTTAAACGTGGTCAGTTTATTTTCATTTCATTACTCATTTTCACTTCGTGGAAGCAGTTGGCTCAGGACCGAAAAGGCTGGCACYGTGCCGTTCTTAACGGTGCCTCGTCATGCGAGGCCAATTGGACAGCTGTCGGGGTTAACTCCATAGGTTTTCTAAGAGTTATCCCAGGATTAGCGCTGATCAGGATTTGAACAACCAACCCGGCCCTGCACACTAAAAACATACAGACTTGCCTTGTTTAAGGCAGCAAATTGATTTGTTTCGATGTTTATTTATTACCTTAGTGGATTCACTGTGGAATGCTTTGCTTTCTTATCTTTCGTTGGTGGTTCAGGTTGTTGTAGGCCAACACATGTACCAAGACGTAGTAAAGACACAGAAAACACACGGTGAAAGTGYTCAATGGCAAGTTCTGTTGTTTCTTCAGCACTAAGCATTTCAGTCAGACCACATGTTATCTGTTCAAAAATCAATAAAAGTGATTCMTTGTTTACGCGATAAACACCCTTACAGGAATGCAGCTCCAACGGGAGGAAAACACAAGTTCCCAGGAGAGCCAAACACTTGTTTTTAAGATAAATCAGTTCACATGCTTGGTCTGTACTTTCTTGTATTTTCTCCTATTTTCCAATCAGTTTCGTTGTTCTCTTTTTTCTTCATATATTTTTTTCTACTTTATCATTCAAGTCGTGTTCGTTCTGTGCCTAAGTTTATTGAATGTGAATTGATTGACCTTGGCCATGGGATCGAGATACTGAACTAGCAAGTTTCTGATGATTGTTTAACTCGTWCSTTATGGTTTRCGATACACTGTGAGCATGCGTACTACAATWACTTACCGCACACGGCTGTAAAGTCGCAATACGCAAAGTTTCTTTCTTGTTTTTAGGGTTTGGTTTCTCATTGTATGGTAGACTACGCGTTAGCAAATCAAGAAGATAGTCGAATATACTCAATGCAAGACTCGGTTCACCAGCCAGTGTCTTCCAAATGTCAACCACGTGCCTGAAACACAATCGAACGTTTGATCATAATCAGTGATAGTTGGAAATAGAGATTTGGATTTGAAATAGAATGGAATATGACCAAGGATCCTTACTCATCAAGAGGCAACTGGAACTCCAAGATTGCCAACAGGACAGGAGCAAGATGATGCAATGATAAAGTTCTTAGTACTCGTAACGTCCCGGTACGTGTTTGTGGATGACCGATCAGCCACAGCTTGTCACGAATATTCGTTACTATTTGACCAACCTAGACAATTGTATATTCGGTACAAAATGAAATAAAACCTTTCACATGATGGTAATAATATCAAAACAAACACACCACTGAATACGAGAAAACAGACAATGCAAGATAGGTGTTGCGGTACYGAGAACAAACGACTAACCTCTTTTCGTAGCTCCTGCCCACGTATTCTTATGATACTATTGAGAACTACGCATGCTCCACTTGAACTRTGTGATTGACAATCTGTCAAGCCATCCATCAAAGTAAACACGAATCCTGATAGGGCGTCGCTTAGCAACTTTTTAGCAATAACCTACGATTAATAAGTGGTAATCAATGAAAGTCTATTGGTGTTAGGATCCCTGTGTTGGATTCTGTCTCAATAATGAGGGAAGCGGAGACGGAAGTGGTAGAACAAAACTTTCAATTTTTATTCATTTTTCATTATTTTCACATGGTCGTAAGCGATTTTTTCTCTTTTACCTTCGACAAATCGCTGGCAACACTAAACAGCAAATTGGCGTCGTCCTCTGAGGCGCGTTGTCTGAGTGTTGACAATGCATCGATAAGATCGTCCTTACTATCAATAGAATACCCTTAAAAACAACCATATATTATTAGTCTTATTGTTGTTGTTGTTGTTGCTGCTGCTAGGCTGATGTGGTTGTTGCTAGTGTTATTGTCGTTTCTCCTTTACCATCGTGTTTCTACTTACCTTGGTACCAGGCTGATATTCGTAAGATAGTTTGTACACTGTCGATAGCTGTTTGTCTGATGGGTACTAGTGGGTCTGTACATCGAGGTACAATCCTTGCGACAATCACCCCGACATCAAACGATGACGTTGATTTCTATATATAATAATATATTAAACAGTTTTATATCAAACGATGACGTTGATTTCTATATATAATAATATAAACAGTTTTATATCAAACGATGACGTTGATTTCTATATATAATAATATAAACAGTTTTATATCAAACGAGAAAGAATAGTATCGGACAGCATGAAGGAGTATATACCTACCCCTATCATATTGTTAGTTATGCCATCTTTTAGAACCACGACAAGTTCGTACAGACAAGAGACTGCGCGCTGTCTCTCGTGGTTGTGTTGAGAATGAAGCCAAGGTGTCTCAAGATGCTGGGGGAAACAAGAACATGTAAAAATGGAGGAATAACCCATGAAAATAGATCCCTTGCATGCAACATCAWTGCAGMTTCATTTTAGGGGAAGAAAACAAGAAATTTTTGCTTTCTTAGGGATTAGAATCGATTGYTTGCCCCCCAGATGAACAGCATTCACAACAATACCTTCAATATATTGGTAAATGTCTGTGGTAAGGGATCCCGCAGTAAAATCTCTTTCAGTAGGTTATTAAGACTCTTCAACGCTTGAGACAGAAGTTCAGTAGGTTCTTTACCCTGAAATGATCAAACAGCTGACATAAAAATTACACTATACCTGATGAATGTTTATCGTAAGGTGACTTACCTCTTGTAGTTTTTGACCTTTGGTTGGAGTGTTGCCGTCTAACGAAATACCAATAACTGATTCCGTACTTGTCTTGACGATGTCAAACACTTCTGCGTCCGTCATTCGAGGATTCAGTTTACTTCAAATGTTAAGAACAAAGATRCATGGAATGATATTCCAATTGTGCATCATTAACTCAAAATCATTATATTCTCAGCATCATCAACAATATAGCGGATTTCGTATGAGTGGGAAACGGACAGTACTGTACTGTAACCGTAATCGTACAGTACTCAAATTCTAGTGTCTCATTGCCTCACAAAAATTGTGCAGGCCAGGTCCGGTAACTGTGCGGTAACCGTGCGGTAATTTCTTTCGTACGTTTCCCACTCATTCGAAATTGACTCTATCATCATCATCACCGCGGTTATCATGGGAATCATCACTACAAAGGATACATAAGACTAGCACAAGCATCCATGGCAAGTGCTCGTGTTTCTGTAGTAATATTCGATGCTGGTTCAGCTCTGATGTAAGCCTAAAAAACAGTAAACGCTTTATAAATTAWTGATATAAGTTGCACTCTAATAACAAACAAACCTACCAACATATGATTAATTAACTCTGCTCTTCTAGTGAATACAAAGTCAGGCTGTTGTAGACGACTTGGTTCCAGTGCCTTTCCCATCAGCTCTACGGCACGGATGAGGTTTTGTTTAACGTTAGTATCCTAGAAACGAAGTAAACGAAAAATGAGAAACTCAATGCTTTTTAATTGACTACTTTTCTTTTTTCCTTTCACATTTGTTTTACCATTCCTTCTCTCTCATCTTTTTTTTCTATCTCTGTCCTTTCGTTTTTCTTTTTCATCATACGCTTTCCATTTCTTTTCCTCGTTCTATTTTTCATTACCTTAACATTGGAGAAATGCTTKATGATATTTCTGAAGATGTTGGCTTCAAGTCGTGATGTGATCAAACTATACCGAATAAATAGATCAAGCTATGTATTAATAAACGCCGGTGAATCGTTCAAAAAACTAGAAAGTATGAAACATAAGGTCTGAAAACATAGGAAGATGACTTGAATAATGGTAAAAGTCCAAGAGGATCCTGTTTAGTGTTTGCATGAACAGATCTTGTAAGTATACTAGCATATACTCACCTTGGAGGGCCATAGAATGTAGCATAACCATAGCACAACATCACAGTACTTTTTACTCTTTCCACATTAATGTCTGTTTTATCCTAAAAAAATATTTGATACGTATAATCAACGGAATTCTGTAAAGATGAGGTAATAGGTAAASCATACCTTCATGAATCCCAGAATTCCCCCTGATTTTTTGACCATGTCTGTCTTAGCRACCTGCTCAAGTTTAGCAAGAACTGAATCAAGGTTGGTTGCAGCACAGAATCCTACACCAATTGCACAGCCCTGTAATAAATAATATMGAGTATATTTGTTGATGAGAATTATTCGTCTATACGGAACTGATAAAATTTGTGAATACATTGTTATTGTTGCAACATGYATGGRAATACTCGTTCATTACATCAATTAGTGTGTGTGAAAAAAACAATGCAGTAACAAAACGATTCACTGACCTCTCTCTCCTCCTGGCTGGAATGTTTGATTGTGCTAAACATCAAACCAAGTTGGCTTTGTATGAAACCCTTTTGTGAGGCCTTACGAAGTACTATCCCCAGACACTTGTAAGAGAAATTCTACAAATAAAAATATCACTAATCCCAATTCAATTCAAAATTATTAATAAATTTGTCATCATTTTTACCATCATCACCATTATTAACATCAGCATCATCAAGATTAACATCATTATCATGGAATATATCCTGCAGGGCTGTGATAAGAGGATATCTKCCACCTGCACTGGGATCCTCAACCACTCAAATGATGACATAATAACTATCATCACAATCATTATTATAATCATCAATCTCATGTGTAAATGACAGGAGGTTTMATCTTTTAAAATGAATTTTTATTCCATTTTATTTCATAAAGTACACTTTTTATCTAAGGGTGAGAGATATTTTCTGAATTTGCATGAACGTTTATGAACAACTGCTTCAAGCCTGGAATAGATACTCCATTCTACCAATACTTGACTTGAAACTATTATTTTATTGTGGTAAGTGAGATCTGTTGTACCTTGTTATTGGATAAGTTGTTGTACAACACCAATTGGTTTCCCAGTTCACTTCCAAGAGCACAAACCCAGTCCTCTGAATCAACCTCATCAAGACTTTTGGACAGAAGCTTAAAATCATATTATAAACATATTATAAAATATAAMAAATCAATGAACGGATGGAATGACTGACTGAATGGAATAAACTATTGAACAAATAAATATTGAAATAAATATTAAATGGATGAATGGATGGAAGAATGGATGGAAGAATGAATGGTTGACTATTAAAGAGGAGTAAGAAATAAATTCTTTCTAACCTTAAGTACCAAGTCTTCCCATGACTTCTGATTCCATTTCTCAGGGTCTTCTGAATTTTCTGTTGAAAAAGAATCGTGAATATCATAATTCTACTAACAGTGGAATCTTACTTTGAATTCTACTGAAACTACCTTCTATATACTGTATTAGTTTTGGAATAACACCATCCCACATTTCCACAAGGTCTTTATGAAGAATAGGTGTGAGAGCCATCAGAAGGTTAAGCACATGTATGCCACACTTTCCTTTTTCCAATGGATGACCACACATGACCTAATGCCAAACAAAACTACATTAGTCTTTAAATCAGTATCATGAAATTAAATGCTGATGTAAATCACTTACYAATAATCTTGCTAAGATTGCTGCAGGCTGTGGTATGTTTCCTGGAAATTGAAAGGTACATTAAATTTTCTTTATTTTTTCAGTCCTGTATCCTAGTCATTCGCGCACTGTGATTGGCTAGCGTGTGGTCAGGTGTTTCATGATCTGCCCTGTCCATGGTATCCTGAAGCTAGATTGTGAGCAAAGTTGCAGAAAAYACAAATAAAAAAATAAAAATATGTTATTTGCACTCCGTCTGTACTGTCAAGACTTCAGGCAGTGTTTTTCGATATGGACTTTCCAGCCACCTCATTAAAACACAACATACACAGCAACAGGAATATGTTTGTGCTTCTGTTTGTGTTTGTGTTAGGATGTACATTTTATACTTTGCAAACAACAAACTCACTTTGTGCATCAAAATCAATGTTGTAGTCAGGTGCTTCTTGTTSTCGTTTTAAGGCAGCAATGTAAGCAAGACTCTTGCAAACAACACCAATGCCATTGGTAAACTGTTCTTGTACAATGAACTCTAGAAGGTTGGGCCAAAGTACCTGAAATATAGCATTAATAATGGAAATCAATGACTGTGTTGTATAAATACAGTATCAATAAATTGTTAAATACATAGCAATACTCAATGTGACATAGGCCTTTGTTATTCATATACCAACCAGATCATGGTTGTTGGCACATTAACATAAGAATCAATTTGTTGATAAACATTGAGTATTGCTATTCCATATYATGGTAACCTACCACTTGCATGACTTCTACTGTTGTTGTCAATAGAAACAGGATATTYTCACTCATCAAACGGATTGTCTTGGTACTGACAGGGTCTGGATCATTTGGTCTTTGCTGTGGTTTCTAAGCAAAAAGAAAGTCATTCAAATGTTTCATAAACAACATCATATTTTCCYTAATATTCATTTTTGCTGTGTAAATGTCACTTTACCTCCTCATCTGATAGACTGCACAGTTTCACAATAAATTCAAGGAGTTTTAGTCCACCTTCCAGTTCAAGATACCTGTGGTGAGCCATGGCAGTGATGACCTGGGCCAGTGTTCTTTGAACCTAACAATTGCCATAGAATATATTACTATTATAACAACCATAAGGAAAATAGTTCTATAAGTTTTGATAAATCAAAAATATAAGACAGAAATAGTGTATTCATTATATCCATAGTTTCCAAACTAAATTGGGCAAMTTAGTGTAAAATCCTTTGTCTTCCTAGTACAATTTTGAGCAATTTCTTGCAAGATATTTCATGAATGAATTATTATTACCTTTAAATTATTGTCATTTAATAATATCTGTACACCTGACACTACTAAATCATCTTTATTYTCAAGGTAGGTACCTAATATGAGAAGATATAACATCATGAACATCAAACATGATATCGTGTTGAACACTGAATACAGCTGTTGTATCCCAGGGGGGGGGAGATTGATTTTCCTGTACATTTTTTTTATTTGTCATTATATACTTTATACATTTTATCATTGGAACTGATTTAAATTTAACAATATTTGTTGTGCGATCTTTTAGTGGTGAAAAATCAGTCAGCCACACCCTTTTTTCAAGACTTTGAAATCTTTTAGGGGTCTTTTTGAAAATTCTTTCCTCCCCCGGTATTGTATCTCGGGTCATTCAGGGACCCAATAAGTTGTGCAAGATCACTACCTAATGCTATAACATTGTTAAAACATAAGCTAATTATATACCAGAGCTGTTGACAAGGTGCTTAATGACAAGCAGTGATCCAATACGAATCTTTTCATCTCTTGCTTCAAGTTTGATCAACAAGAAAGCCAATACTCTATCTGAGAATGTACGAGCTGCAATAAACACAAGGTCTTAGTTTCTTTCATTTACTGCACAGGAAGCCCATAAGTATGTAATTTTTAGCTTCATGAAGAAAGTTACTTACTCAAGACTGAAAAACACCTCAGAAGTTCATTGTGGTTTTTGACAGTGAGTGGATTGCTAAAGTCAGGAAGATTACAAGTCTGGAATAAAATACATTGTCAATAACATCATTGTTGTGTCATTGCATATCTTGTAACACACTTTACGGATACCTGTGAATCTATTTGTCTAATCTACATGTCTAATCTTACTTGTCTAATCTACATGTCTAATCTTACTTGTCTAATCTACATGTCTAATCTTACTTGTCTAATCTACATGTTTGCACACCCTAAAACTGTACTTTCTATGTGGAGACTCAAACTGTCACTGTCTAT